AAAGTAGCGAAAGTAGCGAAATTTTGGGCAAAAAAGTAGCGAAAGTAGCGAAATTTTCGGCTAAAAGTAGCGAAAGTAGCGAAAAAAGTAGCGAAATTTTGGGCTAAAAAGTAGCGAAAAAAGTAGCGAAAGTAGCGAAAAAAGTAGCGAAATTTAAGGTAGAAAGTAGCGAAAAAAGTAGCGAAATTTGGGGCTAAAAAGTAGCGAAAGTAGCTAAAAAAGTAGCGAAAGTAGCGAAATTTTGGGCTAAAAAGTAGCGAAATAAGCGAAAAAGTAGCGAAAGTAGCGAAATTTTGGGCTAAAAAGTAGCGAAAGTAGCGAAAAAAGTAGCGAAATTTTGGGCTAAAAAGTAGCGAAAGTAGCGAAAAAAGTAGCGAAAAAAGTAGCGAAAAAAAAGTAGCGAAATTTTGGGCTAGTAGCGAAAGTAGCGAAAGAAATTTTGGGCTAAAAAGTAGCGAAAGTAGCGAAAAAAGTAGCGAAAGTAGCGAAAAAAGCGAAATTTTGAGCTAAAAAGTAGCGAAAAAAGTAGTAGCGAAATTTTGGGCTAAAAAGTAGCGAAAGTAGCGAAAAAAGTAGCGAAATTTTTGGGGTTAAAAGTAGCGAAAGTAGCGAAAAAAGTAGCGAAAGTAGCGAAATTTTGGGCTAAAAAGTAGCGAAAGTAGCGAAATTTTGGGCTAAAAATTAGCGAAAACAGCGAAATTTTGGGCTAAAAAGTAGCGAAATAAGCAAAAAAGTACCGAAAGTAGCTAAATTTTGGGCTAAAAAGTAGCGAAATAAGCGAAAAAGTAGCGAAAGTAGCGAAATTTTGGGCTAAAAAGTAGCGAAATAAGCGAAAAAGTAGCGAAAGTAGCGAAATTTTGGGCTAAAAAGTAGCGAAATAAGCGAAAAAGTAGCGAAAGTAGCGAAATTTTGGGCTAAAAAGTAGCGAAAGTAGCGAAAAAAGTAGCGAAAGTAGCGAAAAAGTAGCGAAAGTAGCGAAATAAGCGAAAAAGTAGCGAAAGTAGCGAAATTTTAGGCTAAAAAGTAGCGAAAGTAGCGAAAAAAAAAAAGTTGCGAAAGTAGCGAAAAAAGTAGCGAAATTTTGGGCTAAAAAGTAGCGAAATTTTGGGCTAAAAAGTAGCGAAAAAAGTAGCAAAAGTAGCGAAATTTTGGGCTAAAAAGTAGCGAAAAAAGTAGCGAAAGTAGCGAAAATTTGGGCTAAAAAGTACCGAAAGTAGCGAAATTTTGGGCAAAAAAGTAGCGAAAGTAGCGAAATTTTGGGCTAAAAAGTAGCGAAAAAAGTAGCGAAAGTAGCCTAATTTTGGGCTACAAAGTAGCGAAAGTAGCCCAATTTTCGGCTAAAATGTAGCGAAAGTAGCCCAATTTTCGGCTAAAAAGTAGCGAAAGTAGCCCAATTTTCGGCTAAAAAGTAACGAAAGTAGCCCAATTTTCGGCTAAGTAGCCAAATTTTGGGAAAGTAGCCCAATTTTCGGCTAAAAAGTAGCGAAAGTAGCCCAATTTTCGGCTAAAAAGTAGCGAAAGTAGCCTAATTTTGGGCTAAAAAGTAGCGAAATTTTGGGCTAAAAAGTAGCGAAAGGAGCGAAAAAAGTAGCGAAATTTGGGGCTAAAAAGTAGCGAAAGTAGCGAAAAAAGTAGCGAAAATAGCGAAATTTTGGGCTAAAAAGTAGCGAAATATGCGAAAAAGTAGCGAAAGTAGCGAAATTTTGGGCTAAAAAGTAGCAAAGGTAGCGAAAAAAGTAGCGAAAGTAGCGAAAAAATTAGCGAAAGTAGCGAAATTTTGGGCTAAAAAGTAGCGAAAATAGCGAAAAAAGTAGCAAAAGTAGCGAAATTTTGGGCTAAAAAGTAGCGAAAGTAGTGAAAAATTGGGCTAAAAAGTAGCGAAAGTAGCGAAATTTTGGGCAAAAAAGTAGCGAAAGTAGCGAAATTTTCGGCTAAAAAGTAGCGAAAGTAGCGAAAAAAGTAGCGAAAGTAGCGAAATTTTGGGCTAAAAAGTAGCGAAAAAAGTAGCGAAAGTAGCGAAATTTTGAGCTAAAAAGTAGCGAAATTTGGGGCTAAAAAGTAGCGAAAGTAGCGAAAGTAGCGAAATTTTGGGCTAAAAAGTAGCGAAATAAGCGAAAAAGTAGCGGAAGTAGCGAAATTTTGGGCTAAAAAGTAGCGAAAGTAGCGAAAAAAGTAGCGAAAGTAACGAAATTTTGGGCAAAAAAGTAGCGAAAGTAGCGAAAAAAGTAGCGAATTTTGGGCTAAAAAGTTGCGAAAGTAGCGAAAAAAGTAGCGAAATTTTGGGCTAAAAAGTAGCGAAATTTTGGGCTAAAAAGTAGCGAAAAAAGTAGCAAAAGTAGCGAAATTTTGGGCTAAAAAGTAGCGAAAAAAGTAGCGAAAGTAGCGAAAATTTGGGCTAAAAAGTACCGAAAGTAGCGAAATTTTGGGCAAAAAAGTAGCGAAAGTAGCGAAATTTTGGGCTAAAAAGTAGCGAAAAAAGTAGCGAAAGTAGCCTAATTTTGGGCTACAAAGTAGCGAAAGTAGCCCAATTTTCGGCTAAAATGTAGCGAAAGTAGCCCAATTTTCGGCTAAAAAGTAGCGAAAGTAGCCCAATTTTCGGCTAAAAAGTAGCGAAAGTAGCCCAATTTTCGGCTAAAAAGTAGCGAAAGTAGCCCAATTTTGGGCTAAGTAGCCAAATTTTGGGAAAGTAGCCCAATTTTCGGCTAAAAAGTAGCGAAAGTAGCCCAATTTTCGGCTTAAAAGTAGCGAAAGTAGCCTAATTTTGGGCTAAAAAGTAGCGAAATTTTGGGCTAAAAAGTAGCGAAAGGAGCGAAAAAAGTAGCGAAATTTGGGGCTAAAAAGTAGCGAAAAAAGTAGCGAAAATAGCGAAATTTTGGGCTAAAAAGTAGCGAAATAAGCGAAAAAGTAGCGAAAGTAGCGAAATTTTGGGCTAGAAAGTAGCAAAGGTAGCGAAAAAAGTAGCGAAAGTAGCGAAAAAATTAGCGAAAGTAGCGAAATTTTGGGCTAAAAAGTAGCGAAAATAGCGAAAAAAGTAGCAAAAGTAGCGAAATTTTGGGCTAAAAAGTAGCGAAAAAAGTAGCGAAAGTAGCGAAAATTTGGGCTAAAAAGTAGCGAAAGTAGCGAAATTTTGGGCAAAAAAGTAGCGAAATTTTCGGCTAAAAAGTAGCGAAAGTAGCGAAATTTTGGGCTAAAAAGTAGCGAAAAAAGTAGCGAAAGTAGCGAAATTTTGAGCTAAAAAGTAGCGAAATTTGGGGCTAAAAAGTAGCGAAAGTAGCGAAAAAAGTAGCGAAAGTAGCGAAATTTTGGGCTAAAAAGTAGCGAAATAAGCGAAAAAGTAGCGGAAGTAGCGAAATTTTTGGCTAAAAAGTAGCGAAAGTAGCGAAATTTTGGGCTAAAAAGTAGCGAAAGTAGCGAAATTTTGGGCTAAAAAGTAGCGAAAAAAGTAGCAAAAGTAGCCAAATTTTGGGCTAAAAAGTAGCGAAAATAGCCCAATTTTGGGCTACAAAGTAGCGAAAGTAGCCCAATTTTGGGCTACAAAGTAGCGAAATTAGCCATTTTAGGCTAAAAAGTAGCGAAAGTAGCGACATTTTGGGCTAAAAAGTAGCAAAAGTTGCCCAATTTTGGGCTACAAAGTAGCGAAAGTAGCCCAATTTTGGGCTACAAAGTAGCGAAAGTAACCCAATTTTGGGCTACAAAGTAGCGAAATTAGCCTAATTTTTAACTTCAAAGTAGCGAAAGTAGCGAAATTTTGGGCTAAAAAGTAGCGAAATTTTGAACTAAAAAGTAGCGAAATTTTGGGCTAAGAAGTAACGAAAGTAGCGAAATTTTGGGCTAAAAAGTAGCGAAAGTAGCGAAATTTGGGGCTAAATAGTAGCGAAAGTAGCGAAATTTTATGCTACAAAGTAGCAAAAGTAGCCCAATTTTGGGCTACAAAGTAGCGAAAGTAGCCCAATTTTCGGCTAAAAAGTAGCAAAAGTAGCCCAATTTTCGGCTAAAAAGTAGCGAAAGCCCAATTTTCGGCTAAAAAGTAGCGAAAGTAGCCCAATTTTGGGCTAAAAAGTAGCGAAAGTAGCCCAATTTGGGGCTAAAAAGTAGCGAAAGTAGCCCAATTTGGGGCTAAAAAGTAGCGAAAGTAGCCCAATTTGGGGCTAAAAAGTAGCGAAAGTAGCGAAATTTTGGGCTAAAAAGTAGCGAAAGTAGCCCAATTTTGGGCTAAAAAGTAGCGAAAGTAGCCCAATTTGGGGCTAAAAAGTAGCGAAAGTAGCAAAATTTTGGGCTACAAAGTAGCGAAGGGCAGGGGGTACTCCACAGGGGCCCTCTACATGAACACGGGTGGGAATACTCCACAGGGGCGCTCTAGATGAGCAGGGGGTACTCCACAGGGGCCCTCTACATGAGCCCCCTGCTCATGTAGAGGGCCCCTGTGGAGTACCACAGGGGCCCGCTACGTGAGCAGGGGTGGGAATACTCCACAGGGGCCCTCTACGTGAGCAGGGGGTACTCCACAGGGGCCCTCTACATAAGCATTCATGTAGAGGGCCCCTGTGGAGTACCACAGGGGCCCGCTACGTGAGCAGGGGTGGGAATACTCCACAGGGGCCCTCTACGTGAGCAGGGGGTACTCCACAGGGGCCCTCTACATAAGCAGTGGTGGGAATACTCCACAGGGGCCCTCTACGTGAGCAGGGGGTACTCAACAGGGACCCTCTACATGAGCAGGGTGGGAATACTCTACAGGCAGCCGGTAATGCAATAAAAGAGGTACTCTCACTCGGTACCAGAAAGTGCTTAATATTTATATTTGTGAAGGTTAATAACGTTACATAATATAAAAATATATTAGATCTTGAATGAAACACGAACATAAAGACAAAATATAGTCATTTCAAAATCAAAATATAAAAGAACATTTTGTAATTGACCTTTTGTGCACTTCTTAACGTTACCCCTTAATATAACGTTTTCTCTTCATATCACAATGAAAGAAAATGTAATATAAATGTAGTGAAACTCTTTATTTTTTATCTACATTGTCCGTGGGCTATGACACCTCAGCACAGTGAGGCAAAGTCTGCTAAAACGTCTGATGACACAGTTTACATCTGGTCAGGTTTACATTGGAAGGTGATACTCCACAGGTTCCCTCTACATGAGAAGGGGGTACTCCACAGGGGCCCTCTACATGAGCAGGTGTGCTCTACAGAGGCCCTCTACATGAGCAGGGGTTGGAATACTCCACAGGGGCCCTCTTCATGAGCAGGGGTGGGAATACTCCACAGGGGCCCCTCTAGATGAGCAGAGGGTACTCCACAGGGGCCCTCTACATGAGCAGAGGGTACTCCACAAGGGCCCTCTACATGAACACGGGTGGGAATACTCCACAGGGGCCCTCTACATGAACACGGGTGGGAATACTCCACAGGGGCCCTCTAGATGAGCAGGTGGTACTCCACAGGGGCCCTCTACGTGAGCAGAGGGTACTCAAGAGGGTCCTTCTACATGCGCAGGGGTGGGAATACTTCACTATGGGCCCTCTACAGAAACAGGGGTGAGAATACTCAACAGGGGCCCTCTACATAAGCAGGGGGTACTCCACAGGGGCCCTCTACATGAGCAGGAGTGGGAATACTCCACAGGGGGAACAATACACGAGCAGGGGAGGGAATACTCCGCAGATGCCCTCTACGTGAGCAGGGGGTACTCCACAGGGGCCCTCTACGTGCGCAGGGGTACTCAACAGGGGCCCTCTATATGAGCAGGCGCAGGAAAACTTCACAGGAGCCCTCCACATGAGCAGGGGGTACTAAACAGGGGCCCTCTACGTGAGCAGGGGTGGAAATACTCCACAGGGGCCCTCTACATGAGCAGGGGGTACTCCACAGGGGCCCTCTACGTGAGCAGGGGTGGGAATACTCCACAGGGGCCCTCTATATGAGCAGGGGTACTCAACAGGAGCCCTCTACATGAGCAGGGGTGGGAATACTCCACAGGGGGGCCCTCTACAGGAGCAGGGGTGATAATACCCCACAGGGACCCTCTACATGAGCAGAGGGTAATTCACAGGGGCCCTCTACATGAGCAGGGGGTACTCCACAGGGGCCCTTTACATGAGGAGTGGGAATACTCCACAGGGGGCCTTCTACATGAGCAGGGGTGGAAATACTCCACAGGGGCCCTCTACATGAGCAGGGGATACTCACCAGGGGACCGCTACGTGAGCAGGGGTTACTCAACAGGGGCCCTCTACATGAGCAGGGGGTACTCCACAGGGGCCCTCTACATGAGCAGGGGTATTCCACAGGGGCCGTCTACATGAGCAGGGGTGGGAATACTCCACAGGGGGCCCTCTACGTGAGCAGGGATGGAAATACTCCACATGGGTCCTCTACATGAGCAGGGGATACTCCACATGGGTCCTCTACATGAGCAGGGGATACTCCACAAGGGTCCTCTACATGAGCAGGGGCAGGAATACTTCACAGGGGCCCTCCACATGAGCATGGGGTACTCCACAGGGACCCTCTACATGAGCAGGAGTGGGAATACTCCACAGGGACCCTCCACATGAGCAGGGGGTACTCCACAGGGACCCTCTACATGAGCAGGGGGTTCTCTACAGGGGCCTTCTACGTGAGCAGGGGGTACTCCACAGGGGCCCTCTACATGAGCAGGGCGTACTCAACAGGGGCCCTCTACAGGAGCAGGGGTGGGAATACTCCACAGGGACCCTCCACATGAGCAAGGGTACTCCACAGGGGCCCTCTACATGAGCAGGAGTGGGAATACTCCACAGGGACCCTCCACATGAGCAGGGGTACTCCACAGGGGCCCTCTACATGAGCAGGGGGTACTCAACAGGGACCCTCTACATGAGCAGGGGTGGGAATACTCCACAGGGACCCTCCACATGAGCAAGGGTACTCCACAGGGGCCCTCTACATGAGCATGGGGTACTCTACAGGGGCCCTCTACATAAGCAGTGGTGAGAATACTCCACAGGGGCCCTCTACGTGAGCAGAGGGTACTCCACAGGGGCCCTCTACGTGAGCAGGGGGTACTCCACAGGGGCCCTCTACATGAGCATGAGTGGGAATACTCCACAGGGGAAACTCTACATGAGCTGGGGTGGGAATACTCCACAGATGCCCTCTACGTGAGCAGGGGGTACTCCACAGGGGCCCTCTACATAAGCAGTGGTGGGAATACTTCACAGGGGCCCTCTACGGGAGCAGGGGGTACTCAACAGGGACCCTCTACATGAGCAGGGTGGGAATACTCTACAGGCAGCCGGTAATGCAATAAAAGAGGTACTACCACTCGGTACCAGAAAGTGCTTAACTTTTTTTAATATATATATTTGTGAAGGTTAATAAAGTTACATAATATAAAAATATATTAGATCTTGAATGAAACACGAACATAAAGACAAAATATAGTCATTTGAAAATCAAAATATGGAAGATTATTTTGTAATTGACCATTTAAGCACTTCTTAAAGTTACCCCAGAATTTTACGTTTTCTATTCATATCACTATGAAAGAAAATGTAATATTAATGTAGTGAAACTCTTTTATTTTTTATCTACATTGTCCGTGGGCTATGACACCTCAGCACAGTGAGGCAAGGTCTGCCAAAACGTCTGATGACACAGTTTACATCTGGTCAGGTTTACATTGGAAGGTGATACAAACTTAGATACTTATCACCAAGCCTTGCCTACCTGCCGAAGCTGTAAATCCCAAAACGTTATCGAATTTCAAAATCCAGCTCAATAAAATCATGAGGACAAATGGTGGGACCTCTGACACGCCGCCGGCTTTGTTCTCGTTGAGTAAATTCGGGTAAATACTTAGTTGGATCTGAAACGTAAGAAAAGTATAATATATAATCGTTTTGTAGGACAAGATGCCTGTGTATACATCTATTGGGTCTGAAACTTGAACAAAATATAGTTTTGTTGGGTACAGTTAATTAAGGCGCAGATAGGAACATCCCGTGCGTAGGTTCGAACCCTTATCACGGTCCTTGTGGATTTGTTCATTCATCAATCAAGCTTAATCCTAATAATAGTGCAATGTACAAGAACGGTAACAGATTACCATCTCCATAAACCTAGATTTGGCAAAACAATTCTTTATATTTTACATAACATACCTGTCAAAGAAATGTAACTAAATATATACCAGTAAGAGAGCATGGACACGTATATCAAAGGTATATTTGTGACAATATAAGGAGCACACATATAGTATATAACACTAAGCTACGTTTACAGATGGTTCGCTTACTGGAGACGAGGTTGATAGACCCCAACTCGTACAGGAGCAGCACAGCCAGTGATGGCAGCACCGGCAGGACATCGTCAGAAGAGCGGAATAGTATTAACAGCTTGATGGAACAACGGCTGTATCTTCTGACGGAGCACGTGGCCAGAATCGACAACAAACTGTCGAGCGTGCAGAAGTCGCTCGACACCAACAGCATCGTGGTGCCTCAGGACGAACTGGTGGCGGCAGCCTCGGAGAGTTACCGTGTGGGTGTTGACATTCCTAGAGTCCAGGCCCTCGATAAGGTGAGACCCTCACACCGCCGACACTTGTACCTTACAGCCCTCTCTTTCACACGCCCTCAACTTTCAAGATTAACACCTCAACGCCTACTCTCAACTGCCCCCTCTCAACTTGGACCCTTAACCCCCTCTGTAATACACACCTTCAACCTTCTGCTATCACCCCCTCACCCTCTTCCCTCTCGCCTTGTCCTATGATCTCTTCCCTCATCCTGTCTTCTGCGTGTTGCCCTTAGGTCCCAGCCCTTGGTCAGCTACAAGAGTCCATAGAGTCGGTGCGGGACTCCGTGACAGCGATGGACCGGCGCCTGCAGTTCCATATGGCTTACGTGTCCGGAGACCTGGAGCAGCTGGCGGGCTCTGTCAGGACCATTCACACTGCCATACTGGAGGATCAGAATCCCCCAGTTGACACCACCACGGAGGCTCCCAGGTGAGGGTGGATGGATGGAATGCTACATGATGTTCTCCATGTGAAGTGATAGTTTTTGGACAGTCTTATGTGACATTAAATGTATAGGGCTTATTATTGAGTGTTCCATGTGGCTTTGTTCATCAGTTTTTATCAGTGAGGGGTTATTCTCTAGTCCCCCAGCAGGTAACGTGTTATCCTCTAGTCCCCCAGTGAGTTACGCGTTATCCTCTAGTCTCCCAGCAGGTTACGAGTTATCCTCTAGTCCCCCAGCAGGTTACGAGTTATCCTCTAGTCCCCCAGCAGGTTACGAGTTATCCTCTAGTCCCCCAGCAGGTTACGAGTTATCCTCTAGTCCCCCAGCAGGTTACGAGTTATCCTCTAGTCCCCCAGCAGGTTACGAGTTATCCTCTAGTCCCCCAGCAGGTTACGAGTTATCCTCTAGTCCCCCAGCAGGTTACGAGTTATCCTCTAGTCCCCCAGCAGGTTATGAGTTATACTCTAGTCCCTCAGCAGGCAAAGAGTTATATTCTAGTAACAGTGTGGTATCTCTTGTACAGGAACGTGACGCGGGTGGCTCCCCGTACAAAGATCGACTCGCTGGTTGACCGGATGTCACCCATGGAGACTGTTTGGGAGAAGATGGAGGAAGTGAGTTGTTCCACAGTTGGGTTTAATAAATATTTATATACTTTTCTAGCCAGTCTTCGTAAGAATCACACTGAATTTACCAACTTTCTCAAATTACTTTTGCAATTATACCTTGAAAACCACGAATTATTATGATTGAAACATTTTAAGACGCTTTAATTGTACAGTAGTTTGATGATACACTAAACTGGCGAGTGTACATTGACACAACACGGCAGTGAGAATGTACATTGTCACATCATGGTAGAGTACATATGGTCATAAAACCGTGGTGAGTGTACAGTGTCAAAACACGGCAGTGAGTAGCTTATCACAGTGGTGGTAATTTGACTAAGCAAATGTGTCCAGGTGTGGGACGTGGTGGTGGGCACCAAGAGCTCGGTGGACGTGCTGGTGCCCAAGAGTGAGGCTCTACTTAACACCAGCCAGCGGCAGGAGCGGGCTATCTCCACCATCCAGTCAGACCTCACCGAGAAGGCCAACCGTATCATCCAGAACCTTGACCAGGTAGGAAGTCTGCACGCCCTTACCTGCATGTTTTCATTCATTAGTGATGGGTCTATATGGTGTTTCTGGGGCCTCTACCTTTCATTGGGTTCACTCCAAAAATTTGGGCTATGCAATGGATATGTATAGAGGGTAGAGAGAGAGGCTGGAAAACCAGAGAGTAGTGAACATCAACAACAGGAGAGGTCCCTCCTCGATGTAGCTGGTATCAAAGGCGTTGTCTCTGAAACCAAGCAAGTAATTGTCAAATTAAACAAATGTTCAAACTAGTTATATAACACCGTTTCTTTAGTTAGAAATACAGTAGTTCGTTGTTTAATTCATTTGCTTTTTGTAGAATGCCTTTAGGAAACGGATATTTGAATGGATATATTATATATCATATTATAATATATATTATTATATATCATAATAGATTATATGATGAATCCACAGTAATGTCCACTCTTCTCTCTGTGTACATGTAGCTAATGGTGGTTTTGCCCGATAAGGTGGAGCAGACGTTGAAGACGATGCCGCGAGAAGGCCATATGCATCGGGACCACATCAACCCCGTCACCCTTCTCCACCGCTCCACCAACACCCACCAGGTACAGGACGACACCCCCGTCGACGACCCCCCGGGCGATCTCGTGGACCAGGTAACAGAGTTTTCTACAAACTCTTACACTCACACATGCCTGTAGTCATTCTTTAATTAATTAACCCATCTAACCTTTCCCCTCAGCACGATGAAAGGAAATAACTTTACCGCAGGTAATATTTCTCCATCGGTTATGCTATCCACCTTTAACTTTCACTAACTCTTCGTCCTCAGAAGTATTTGTACAGATCATCTTCAGATATAATTATCATGGGGCAAGGGTAATAACATTTGGGTCTTAAAACTAACAGTGCTGAACTAATCCTCTAATTTTCCTGAGTCTGCATTTGGCATATTCTCCAAATTGCATAAGAATATTACTGACACGTTTTTTTCAATCATGTCCTCATAAACTGAGTTGAATCAGTGATATGGTTGCCTCTACTAGGCTCCCTCTCTCTCCAACCCCCCCTGTTCTCTTTAAACAGGGGGAGATTACTTTAAATCTAAAAGTAAAACGGCTCGTAATCATAATATTAACAATTATTGAGGACGATCAGTAAACAATCTGAACACATTATCAACCATACTTGCCACCAGAGGCTTGCAATTGTCAGTATTTCACAAGATAATCAAATGTTTCTTAAAAAAAATTTATGGAAATAAAGATTTTATTATCCATGGCCGGCTACATTAGTTATCAAAGTGATTGTTGTGTGTTTATACTATCATCTGAAATTAGTCAACACTACAATGACCTCGCAACCTGTAAGGTTGATGTTCCATACCCCCTTTGGTCCAAGTGGTTTAGCACCGTTCCTATGTTCCACCCCCACCCCCCCCCCACATATCCTGTCCTTGTATCTCTTTTAAATGCTATATTGCCATACATAGGCCTTTTTCGTAATAAATGCCTTGCCTTACACTGAGCATGTCAACAGAGCTTCCTGACGGAACACAACACCAGTGACATGGTAACGACGACGGAGCGACCGTCCACTCGGAGCCAGGTAGGACCCTCAGGCGTGGTCTTCCCATCCGTCCAGAAGAAACCCGTCACCATCAACAGCACCTTTGTCATAAACGATATGAATGAGCAAAGCATTAAGGTGGGTGTCACTGTCAAAAGATTTGTCTGCATGCAGACGAGGAGTCACAATAACGTGGCTGAAATATGTTGACCAAACCACACATTAGAAAGTGAAGGGATGACGATGTTCGGTCCGTCCTAGACCATTCTCACAATCAACTTGAGAATGGTCCAGGACGGACCAAAACGTCGTCGTCCCTTCACTTTCTAGTGTGTGGTTTGGTCAACATTTGTCTGCATGTAATCATGTTTGTCACGTAATAAAATTCTAATGATCTGATTATAAGAACGTTACATGTTTGACCTCTAAAAGTTCATTCTGTACAACCATGGTGAATATTTTATATTTCCTATGCTCTATGTGGAGAAGTCTGGTATGAAAGAACAATAATTTAAAATGTTTGTTTCAATCTTTTTCCCTGCAGCAAGGGTTCTCCTGTAATGACATGAGAGATAAGGGCATGAGAGAGAGCGGCTCCTACTATCTCAAGATCAGGGGCACTACTTATTGGTTCCTCAGGGTCTTCTGTGATATGGACACGGCTGGAGGAGGTTGGACAGTATGTATTCTCATCTCCCACCACTTACAACCTCTTTGTTTATTCTGCATTATATCGCTTAGTATAGGGTCACAAGCAACTGAGTCCCAGGAAGGACAAGAAGATTGAGTACATTTCTGTGCATTTAATGCTATTGTTCACCTAGTAGTAAATAGGTACCCGAGAGGTAGACTTGTGGGTCACAATCTGAGGAATGCCAATATTACACTAGGTTGACATTGATAAGCCTAACAGTCTGCCTGCCCTTGACAATGGTGAAAACCATAACAGCAAAATTACTTCTTTTCACTAAGAATAGTCCAATAAGAATTTGATGCAGATAACTCAATCTAAATTAATGCTTTAATTGAAGTCACAAAAGTCCATCATAATGAAATCTATTGCCATTTCAGGTGATTCAGCGACGCGACGACTATGGCGAGCCCCGTGAGACTTTCAACCGAGAGTGGAATGACTACAAGCATGGATTTGGCAATCCTGAAGCAGAATTCTGGCTCGGCAACGAGAACATCTACATGCTCACCAACACTGACAACTACATGCTCAGGGTCGAGCTCGAAGACTTTGATGGCAACAGAAGGTACGAGCATCAGCAGGCTTATACAGTATATATATACTGTATTACACTGAGCAAAATATATCCATAATTCACTTACTTAAAACCAAAGCTGGGAACATTTAATGACGTACCAATTATGGTACAGTACATAAAAGTATTGTTCATTGCACCACCCATAGCTCTGCTATTCAACAAATCTCTAGTGTCATACTTTTCCTAATATCCTTAAAAAAAACAAGAGTAATTCCACACCAATATAAAATCTACCAATACTATAAAAAAATATTTGAAAAAATTATATACAAACTATATACAATATTATATAAAAAAAAATCTAAAAAAATGCAGGTATAATCTCTAAAACCAGATATTATGTTCCCATTCTGCTCTCCTTTCACTATACTACTCACTAATCTATCCCTATCTTAACACATGCTATCTGTTTATTGGGGTTCAACCACTGCAAATTACCTCAAGCCCATCATCACCCCAGGAAAAATCTGTTATCAGAACAATATCAAACTCTGTCTTCAGACAACACACAGCCCCTCTGTTTAAATCCCTAAATATCCTGAACGTACTCCACATATTCTCTTGCGCTATTTACACATACAAAACCTTGTTCCTAAATGTTAATCCTGATCTGAAACACTTCCTTGATAGTTGTAATAGAACCCATGAGCACCACACAAGAAATAAATATCTTTCATATCCCTAGAGTCAGATTAAATCTGTGCAAACACTTCATGCAAATAAAAGGACCCAGTCTATGGAACTCGCTCCTTAATGAATTCAAAATCTTTTCAACTTATGCTTTATTCAAAAGCAAAACCAAACAGTAACTACTAATTTCATTCTCATAGTTTCCTACAATGTGCTTCAAAACTATCTTATGCTACCCACTCACCCAATTGTAGTACCAGTACTTAAGAAAAGCAACATCGCCTGTATAATAATACAATCAATTTTTATTGTAATTCTTTTGCTGAACTCAAATTCTGCTACAATGTACCTTTTAATTATTCTTACTTTTATCTGTTGGATTAAGGACCTGCCCAAAATGCTGTTAGTATGAATGAAGAACACCAATGTATTCTCACAACCCAATGTACTTGTACCTTGTTGTATATCAATATAATAAATAAATAATATAAATATAATCGGAAAACGCCTACTTTTTCAGGTACGCCGAATACTCAACCTTTAAGTTACACAGCGAGAAGGACAACTACAAGCTAGAGATCGGTGGGTACTCTGGCAATGCTGGAGACTCGCTCAACGACCCTTGGTATGGCTCCAACCTCAGCCCCTTCTCTACTGTCAACAGGTAACACATGCACTTCTTACCTCCCATACCAAAAGGTTTATGCTCCATCATGCTATATTATGTACAATCATGCTAAATCGATTTTGCAGGAATGAGTTGTGTCTTTGGCAAGCCATAGACATTAGTGTAGATGTCTCTCTGCCATCTGTGACTACTGACAATGACAAGGAGTAATTATTTGTTATTCTGTCACAATGACTGCAAGAAACAGAGGAAAGATCGTGCGATTTGCAACTTTTGCAGCATGATACAGGGTGTTAATTTGTGCACGACTACTAAACCTTTTATTTAACTTTTTACCAAACAATATGTCCTTAAATCAAACAATTACCAAAAGCGTTACCAAACCTGAGCATTAGTTTACACCCCTTATACTACCAACATGGTAGCTCAGAGTTGTATGTTACAGAGACGTGGACGCTTAACTGACGAAGGGATGGTGTGTACAGCAAGACTTGCTGAAGGTTGTTAGTGACTCGAGACTTCAGCAAAGCCACTGTCAGGGATATCACGGATACTGCCCGGTCATTACATTTATATTATATTATATTATATATTATATATAAAAGAGACCCATATTTATCCTCCATTTTCTCCATTGAAACCTTGTCAAGGTCTCACGCTATCTCCTAGCACGGCTCTCACCGAAGGGTGGTAACGAGAACAATATTTCCTCTACTGGAATGAATAATTACAAGACTGACACCTATGTAGAGACCCATATTTATCCTCCATTTTCTCTAGAAGGCTTGTCATGCAACTCTTCCCTTAATGTCTCCTTGCAAAATACTACAGATTTTAATGTTCCTGCTCAGGACAGCTTGTAATATAAATCACCATATCAAATAATATTTGTTTGTCCTTATAATCATTGTTCAGCTTAATCCTGACCTGATCATTTCTATGGTTTATGCGAGACAAATATTGATCTTCATCTGGAGTTGACAACTCTATCATCAGAATTTCTTAATGAGCTTGTGTAAAGTTGTGTGGTGTTCACCCCAACAGAGACAATGACCGTTCCAGTCTTAACTGCGCTTCTATGCTGAAGGGCGGCTGGTGGTGGCGCTCTTGCGGTAGAGGATTAAATGGTATCTACCTCACAGACCCCAATGACCTCACAGCAAGACAAGGTAAGAACCGCCAACTCCTAACACATTACTATCTGTGGTAAGAACCTAATACTAGTACAGTATCTGTAAGGTAAGAGCCCATCATTCGGCACTATTAGCATTTAAATATAATTTCCCTTTTTGACTATTTTCCTACCTTTACCACTTAAGAGTTCTTTTACATTCCAACTTTGAAGCCTCTATAAGAGAAGCAATCTTTTTGTTTTGTTGCCTTGTATACTAACTGATGTGTCTTTGACTCGGCAGGTATCGTGTGGTTCCGGTGGAGGGGATGGGATTATACGCTAAAGAAGTCCGTCCTTATGATTAGACCTAAAAGCAAGGAGGGAAAAACTACCTAGTGACAGTTGATGCTAGAAGAAAGAAAACGGAGAGACCAAATCAAGGGCAGAAGACACTGCAAGAAAAGATTAACTAATTATTACTTCTTTTAAGTGCTGTGAATGTGAAGTAGAAAACTAGTAATGGATACGTTTGTCAAATATCAATGATTTTGGGGGACCATTTCTCCATGACTGGGGTGATTGTAAGCAGAGACTTTTGACATTTTGTGATTGCCGCGTCATCTGCTCCACTGGGTATAAACAAAAATACAAAAATATATATATATATATAAATAGGGTGATGGTTGGTGCTGGGAATGTTCATTGGCTTGTTCATGAAGAGAAGTGTTACACTCAAAAACCTCAAACCAAAACGTTATATTGGACTGATGACTATTGAAATTGCTCTCTCCATTCGCTTTTGCCAAGCATTATAAATCACTACGAGTACTTTAAGAAAGAAAGCTATGTATATATTTTGATAGTTAAGTGCAATACTAAGATTCTTTCTAAAAATACTATATTTTTTAAGATAGGCAGAGAATAGTTATATAGCTTTACCTCCTACTTTATAAAGAAGAATACTGGTTTTGGATTAAGTGCTTTAAAGAACATGTCGGAGTCATCTTTCTTCACCTTGTCTGTCTACCCTGAGAAGAGGGATTCTGGGCGTGTGTCCAGGGTCTTGTCCACTCGTCAGTAGACTGGGAACAAACTTCTTGTTTCCTCAAGGTGGAAGGGGTTTGACTCCTGTATGTTGTATCAAGTATTACGGGACCTGCTCTGTTGTGTGTCTGTATGTAGTCTCCTGCATATATCTTCACTTAGATATTAGTTAGTGTAGAATTATTTATTTTTGGGTATCTCTGTTCGAAAAATCTTTTAAGTGTTCTTGTTCTGCTGGCCGGGCTCCCCCTCCCCCTTAACACACACACACACACACACACACACACACACACACACACACACACACACACACACACACACACATTATGGTAGTCCTCCCCAACTAGTTGAGAGACGGGACCAAAGAGCTGAAGCTCAACCCCTGCAAGCACAACTAGGCAAGTACCCACACACATACATATCGACATGCTTTTGAGGCCAAAGCCTCAAAAGGTGAGTGTGAACAGAGGAGAGAGATAATTATCGAGTAAACAACTGAGAGCAAGACATGACTACAAGACACATAAGCATAGATAAGTTGTGATAATGTAGTGTGTCCTTAGATACAATTATGCATCAGATATGAACATACTACCAAGGTATAATCAAGTGGCAATTAGCATCTACCATGCAACTATCAGAATAGGATTTACAAGAGATACAAAACAATCACGTGTGTTCGCAAAAGTGCTATGCATTGTTCCTCGGTGAATTAAGCCATCTGGTGATGTGAACGACAATTGAGAGGCACACAGTAATAATACTCCTGTATGGTGCTATGTATCACTACCAGAACCCCTTTTGAGTAGTATCTTGTGCAGTATGTAACCCTCCCTCCCTCTATAACTTAGCCTTCAAAGTTCCATAATATATCCTGAAGCCCTGCCTAACATATCGTCAAGTCACCTGTAACATGATATACTTCAGCTCCCAAGTAGCAGTGTTTCCCCCCTATGACATGAAATCCATTTTTCCCACCCTGTCCCCTCCATAATATGATATCCTCTAGGTCTCTTTCCCCCTCCCCCCACTCAGTAACATAATATCCTCCTGTACCCCTGTAACAAGATATTCTCCAATTTCCCTCCATAACATATCCTACAGCCCCCTTCATAACATATCCTGTTTCCCTCCCATAAGATATCCTATGGACCCCCTCTCTCCGTAACACGATATCAACAACCCTCTGTAGCACGATAGCCTCAAGTTGCCTTCCTACCATCTGTGATGTGATCTCCGGTCAATCAACTTGGACAATTTGGCCAAACTTGTCTACCTGTCACCACACTGTCTTTGATGGTACTTGTTTGTGTGTGTGTTCTCTCCACCTGCAATATGCATACTGGCCTGAACAGTCTATTTTCATCTATGCATAATTCGTGCATGGAGTATTGCATGTATTTGTATGTGCCCGGTCTATTGTTTGTACAGTATATGCCTCTTGTATATTAGTATGTGCCTGGCAATATGCGCAGTGAACTTGTCTGGATGATGATGTGTGTTTGGAAGGTGTTTATAATGCCAGCAGGTGACCAATACAATGCTTGCCACCGCTGGTCGGATAGGGAGATAGAGACTTCCTGATTTATATATTTATATATCTTGCCTGTACTGTATATTTTTTGCTTGTGTAGTACAGCATTGTAATCCTTGTATGTGCAGTATCATGTGTTCAATGTTTTTTGTAAGGACAGTCTTCTTCTTTACATTTATATTATCTTCATTCTCCATGTGTAACTTTCCTAAATAAAACAAGTTTATTTTTTAGACATGTTTCCTTGTTATATTTTGTTGAAAGGATTATCGGAAAGAATATGCCAAGGCCAGCTGATAAGGGATGGGCCTGCTAACTTAGAGGCTATATGTAATTTTTAGGGTTTTAGCGATGGCAACAGGAATTTTAAGTAAATGCATTTTTCTAAGTGGTGGCTGTTTAAAGCGTGTGCTGAGCGCCTGCCATTGTATGCCAAGTGATAGCTTTCATGTGTTGGCCAGTTATTTCATAATTAATATAAATAAAAATCAGGCAAACAAGGGTTTAGGGTGTGTTAAAATAGCAAACAATGAGTGTATAAGTACAGCATATCAGATAGGAAGAAAAAGAATCTTCAATAAGTATTGTAAACAGCATAAAGGTCTATTGGTATGTACTAGTAAAATGTCTTTAGTATAATCAGAATATTTGTTTTGTGCATGTATGAGGATAGTGTGTTAGGCCACTTAAATTGGAGTTCACCACAGTGATATAACTGGCAATGTTGGGCCATTAATCAGCTCATTCTCTAGAGTAACAACTGACAAAACACGGGATACTAAAACACACAAACCCAAACACCCGCCTAACCTACAAATAGTGTGGATGTTTGTGAGCCCACTAACAGTGAGGTCCACCGCCACACTGATTAGACAGGCAGTGATGGGCCACTAACAGTGTTGATTTCCACACTGCAATATCAAAAGCACTGTCAACATCAGAAAACAAAACCAAAAAAAAAAAAGAACAGCAATAAGATACTTTCTTGAAGTACACAAGTGTTCAAGATGTCATAGAAGTCAAGCCTGTCAAGCCAAGCATCTTTGTTAACCCCCCCCCCACTTCCTCCCTCCCCCAATCACTTGGGCTGGACGGTTGAGCAACGGTCTCGCTTCATGCAGGTCGGCGTTCAATCCCCAACCGTCCATGTGGTTGGGCACCATTCCTTCCATCCGTCCCATCCAAAATCCTTATCCTGACCTCTGTCTAAGGCTATATAGTCATAATGGCTTGGCAATTTCCCCCTGATAGTTCCTTCCTTGTCCCTCCCTCCTCCCCCCCCCTCCTCTCATTTCTAGTCACCAGGTATCTTACAAATGTTCTTTAGCATCTTAGTTACTCAAAGCTCGTGCCCTGAAGTTAAACATCAGCTGTAATCCCTGATAAGATGACTTCTCATAGGTCACTGCCAATAAAACATTCTAATGGGTAATTTTAACAACGATGAGCCATTACAGAAAAAGTGAAATTTATTAAAAGTTCCAAGGTGTCAAAAGTGCCTTGAAAAGGGTGAGGGAGACTGTAATAAGGCTAAGAGGGGCTGTAGTGAGGTCGAGGTAGACTAGCGAGGCCAAAATTGACTGCAGTGAGACCGAGGGAGAGTGCAGCTTTGTCCAAATTTGAAAATTTTGTGTTGTTCAAAGCTTTTTACTTGATGGTTCAATCAGTATTCCAGGATCTGACACTGTACTGACATTTTCTGGGCTCATATAAGTCTGTCACTGGATACTTGTAATATTCCAGGGACCCCTTTTTCCTTTGGCATTATAGTGAACTTGTGGAAGCTAGAAATTAATTTAATCGTTTTCTTATAAAGAGAGCCATGTATTTGACAAATTTGTTGTGAAACTGGCTGGAAAGTATTGTTGCAATACTTGTAATGTGACTGCTAGTAACACCATCAAACATAGCTGTTTTATAAATGTGGTTGGACTACAGTGTGCCTATTACAACTGCAAAAGCATCCTCAGCATGATAACCTATGCTGAAAACATGACAACCTCAGCTCAAAACTTGATAACTTGCTTTTGTCAAATCATTAAGGTTTTTAGACATCACAGGAAGTTAACATATAATAACTAATTTTGTCAATGTCAAAATGGTTTCTTGGACCCAAAATGTGCTTATGTGCAACACGTAAACATTCTATCCTACATGTTCCACAAGACGTATTTTACCTGAAGTGTTTCACTGCCGTCTCGGATTGTATGTGCCGTAATGATAGGTACAGTTATCATTACTGGGTGAGCTACATGACAAGTGCAGTTATCACTACTGTCTGTGTGCGTTGAGTGGCAACAGGTGCAGTTACTATTGTTTGTGAGAGTTATGTGACAACAGATGGTTATCACGACTGTTTGTGACAGTTACGTAACAACAGGTGCCGTTATCACCAAAGTTTGTCAGATGGACGCCATGCTGTCTGTTGTGACAACTTTCATCTTGTAATAATAAAAGATTTATTAAGAAATTTATTGTATATTTATCCTGAGATCCCTCACTAATGACCATATTGTCATATAATGAAAATATGTCATTATAACAATGCCTTGTAAACAAACATGTATATTCATACACATATGCTAGACAGTCCAAAAGATAAATTATCCTAAATTTGTGTGACAGTGCAAATTACCCTTTTCTAAAGCACAGTCAGACTAACACTTTATCTCACCCCAAAACTAAAGTTACGTACCATATTTCACAATTCAGAATTCAAACAACCTTGCAACTCACTGATGAACTGTGCTCTCTTCTTCCAAGATACCTGCAACAATGAAAGAGAGGTGGCCGAGGGAGAGAATCTGTAATATAGATACCCATGGAGAGACGGGATGAAAACAGCTGAGCTGGTCTGTAGAACAAACAACGGACACAACCTTGATCTGACAGATATATATGGACACCTGAGAGATTGTGCCCACATACAGTACTGTATCTGAAATATGAGAAGAAGAATAAATCCCACATAATTTGAGTTAGGAAAAGTATGTCATATACAGTACTATTCTTAAAAGATTTTCCCCAATTTGCATTCGAGAGAACACAAGTTTAGGTGATGGTCTTTTCAAAGACCATCACCTAAAATTCTTTCCCTATACATACAGAACATAACTGGCCGACCTCTCGCAGTGGTAATAAGAGAACTCGACAAGTACCTTCAAAGGATACCTGATCAACTAGACTGTACTCTCGCATGTTAGGCTGTAAGAAGCCACATCAAAAAGCCTGGTGGATCAGACCAGCAACCAGGAGGCTTGGTCAGAGACTGGGCCACAGGGACATTGACCCCCTTCAACAGTAGGTTGTCAACTGTTCACTTGAGTCAGCCATACAAGTCCCTGTTAAATTTGGGTACAAGTGACAGTGAATAACCAAGTTTTCTTCCTCTTGAGGAGTGACGTACATGGTGCTATTGTGATACGTTCACTCCCATGAGTGCCACTGCCCAATAAATTTGCCCTTCGGAACAAAATTACACATTTAATGTGAAATCTTACCTTCACCCTCAGGGATGGTTTACCCCAGTGAAATCCAATCTCAAAACCAAACAAGACAAAACTATCCACTTATAAAGCCCAAGGAACAACCAACTGACTATGGAGGTCCAATTGATCTTCTTTATATGGCAATAGCTCTCCATCCTCTACAGACTTGTTCCTTCCTTCATGCACAGCAAAACATCAGCAGTGAAGTCCAACAGGAATTTGTACTTGGACCCAACCTGTTTTTGATATACTGTATGTACATGATCTTCCAGAAGGCATAGACTCATTCCTTTCAATGTTTGCTGATGATGAAAAAATTATGAGAAGAATCAAGACAGATGAAGATATGCAGAGACTACGAGATGACCTGGCAAGCTGGAGAAATGGTCTAGAAAATGGTTGCTACTAAGAGTACTACTAAGAGTCGCTACTAAGAGCTACATAAGAACTGCCTTTAGAAACTTATGTAAGAAATCATTCAAACCTTGTATACCACATGTGTCAGACCAATCATGGAGTATGCAACTCCAGTCTGGAGTCCATACCTAGTTAAACACATGACAAAGTTGGAGAAGAATTCAGAGGTATGCCTCCAGCCTAGTCCCAGAGATGAGAGGTAAGAGTTACAAGCAATGGCTACGGGAATTAAACCTCACGTTCCTGGAAGACAAGAATTAAGAGACACATAATCACTACCTACAAAATTTTCAGAAAAATTGAATGGGTGGACACAACAAACTATTTAGTATGAGCAGAACACGAACAAGGGGACACAGGTGGAAACTTAGTACTGTATTCAAATGTGTCACAGACACAATAGAAAATTTTTTCAGTGTTAGGGTAGTTAACAAATGGAATGCACTAGCCAGTGATGTGGTGGAGGCAGACTCCATACACAGTTTCAAATGTAGGGATGATAAGAGCCCAATAGGCTTAAGAACTTGAACACCAGTTGACTGGCAGTTGAGAGGCGGGCCCAAAGAGCCTAACCTCAACCCCCACAAGCACAACTAGACGAGTTCAACTGAGTATTGGTCAGATGTATTCTCTGTATATAGCATTCAGAAATGAATCCATGCCTATGATTCCATGTGCTGGTTAATGTAACTAATGATTGTGATATGACTCAATGTGTGTGTTTTTCTGGTACTTAGGTGCATATGTGCTCTCATATTTCTCACAAACACTAGCAGATGCCTTTCCTATGCAGTGTTTCTCTGAACCCCTTCACTATGCAGTATTGTTCTGGGCTCTTCACAATGCAACGATTCCCTAAATACAACACTGCTTTACAATGCAGTGTTCCGTCTGATCCCAACACACTACTGTACAGTGTTCCTCTAGGCTTCTTCGCTATGCAGTGTTCCTCTGAACCCTTTCACTATACAATATTCCTCTGGGCTCCCTTCATGCAGGTTTCCTCTGGTTCCCCGAATTTCTGAAGAGGCCTCTCTTTGGCAGATCATGGTTTTAGATGATCACTCTACTATTTCTTCATCCTAGTTCAACTTTAACGACGAGCGGAGGTCTGGACACCACCTTCGCCTGGAAACTGCTGGATCACATTCTGTTTTTGCGTTTTGGATTTGATACTGCCATTTTGCATCCCTATTCAACGGTCTGGATAATTCCTGGCGCACATATCGCCTTGGGTCACAGGAGTGTTGATAGGTTTTTTTCCCACATGTTATGGCTGGTTCTCACGGCGGGGTGAGTGTCCTGTGCCAGCTTTGCCGAGAGGTGCTGGGAGTTGGTGGGTCTTGGGCTCCTGGTGTGCCCTCAGTCATGGTGGGTGGCTGGCTTCTGCTCCGCCGGAGGACGCAGGATGACTTTTGCATTTTATTTGGGGGCCGAATATTTAGGTTTGCTACCCAGTGTTCTCTGTGTGATGGCGGGGATGGTGCTTGTCACCCTGAGAGACTCCTGGGGCTCCCCAATCATCTGCCTGTCTTCGGTTTTGCGATTAACCCTATACGGGTATGCCAAGGCACATATGATCCCACGATCGTCGTCGCCCCTAAATCAACAACAACAACTATTTCTTCATTGCAAAAAAGCATGTTCTGTAGTTTCTATGAGGCAAGTTTACCACGTGACATTGTCCTGCATTACCACTGTGACCTTTCATATTAAATTAGGCAACATTTGCATGATGTGTTTTTGTTGGGTGGAGTGGTCTCAGTGCAAGTAATGACCCTGCAGCCATCTGTATGGTCTCAGGGAGTGATAAAACACTATTACCTCCACATGGTGACTGCAGTGCTTGGGATGAGTCAACCAAGTGCTATTTTAGTGTTTTCTTATGCATTTTGTTTTCTTGAAGATGCTGGAAGATATTTCTTAAGTAATATTGAATTTACAAATTAATCTGATTACAGTTGAGCTATATATAGTCTTGCCATGTTTGAAGAAGACCTAAAGGTTGATATGTTAAGGAAGGTTCACTATAAACCTTGCTGGTTTCCCAAACTGATATCTCTTGCAGTGATAAGCCAATGTGTATATCAGTTCCCTCCCAGAGAGCCATTAGTGATAACATTTGTTAAATATGACTTATATTTATCAATCTTTTTACTCTGATATATAATAGTGACCAACAGATAACTAAAGTGACCAACAGATAATTATTATGAAGATCAATAGATACTTTACAATAGGGACCAACAAATAATATATAATAATTACAGACAATATAGAGATAATATCACACTATCAGTCTATATTTACCAAACCTGTAAAACAATGATGGGAGCGCGTTATAAGGTGCCCACATGCAAGACTTCCAGTTGGGAACATTATAGAAAACTCGGTCAATGTTAATCAGGATATTTAATCAAACACTGTCTTATGCTAGATGGAAAAAATAAAAAATCCATGATGACCACAAGAAGAATTTTGTGAGCTGTGACCAATAGCAGTAGCAATTACCAAGGTGTAATTACTGTACATACCTAAGTGTACTTACAAGATGAGGACTACCCTTGTGGTGTCTCGTCTTTAAGTACTCTTTGTCGTTTGACATTATGAAACTAGTACTGTACTGACAATTTTGGCCTCCACCACTTTCTCAGTTGTTCCAACTGTCTGCCATTCTGTTTGGAAAAGTGAACTTTCTAAAAAAAAAATCTGCAGCCTTGTTTCATTGGTTTGAACCTACGCCCTCTTGTTCTTAAAGTTGCAGTTTTCAAAAACATTTTGTGAAGACAACACTAAGAAAAATAAATTCATGTCAGTATTGTAGCCAATGTTCCCAGCAATGGATACCTTGATCATGTATTTCTCATTGTGTTCACTGTTGGTCACTGATGTAAACAGTCACTGCAGTCAGTATAGTTGGTCACTGCAATAAATTATTGATCACCTCTGCAAATAGTGTTGTAAACTGTTGTTCACTGCTGTAAACTATGTCACTACTTAAAACTAATGGTCACTGCTGTAAACTGTTGATTAATGTTATAAACTAATGGTTACTGCTGTAAACTGTTGGTCACTGTTGTACACAGTTGGTCACTTGGGGCCTAACAGCCGAGTGGACAGCGCTTTCAGATCTGTAGACATGAGGTTCCGGGTTCAATCTCCGGTGGAGGCGGAAACAAATGGGCAGGTTCTTTCACCCTTATGCCCCTGTTACCTAGCAGTAAATAGGTACCTGGGGGTTAGACAGCTGCTACGGGCTGCTTCCAGGGGTGTGTAACAAAAAGGAGGCCTGGTTGAGGACCAGGCCGCGGGGACACTAAGCCCTGAAATCATCTCAAGATAACCTCAAGATGGTAGACTTTTGGTCACTGCTGTAAACTGCTGTACAATCAGCCAGATACCTACTTCTGTACCACATACAGACTGACTACATGACTCAAGACCCTTCTATTTCCATTTGTACCATGCACTTTCAGCTTTAAATATCCAAAGGATTTTTCAGCATATTGCAAGGGTTGCAGGCATCTCATGTGAGATCCTCTCTGGATGTTGAGTAGCTGGTTACCAATGCATCAGTGGATGAGGTTATTAGAATGGTGATGGACAGAGTTTATCTGGATCCAGTCTGCACTTCTCTTAACATCCCAGAATGTATACTAAGGAAATTGTCCAAAGCATACACCAAAGAGGCACCCTTCTTGAACCCTGATAAGTCTCATGTACAAACAAGGTGGTGGTGTCATTATGGGTTCCTCCCTTTGTGTCTTGTTTGCATATTTTTACATGGATATTATTCAACAGAAAGTTCTTGTTGATGTGGACTTCAAACCCATTATCTACTGTAGGTATGTTGCTGACATTCTTGCAAGGGCCTGACATTGCGTGCTTGTTACAACTTAAGGCTATACCTGCTGGTGCATATTTCTTCAAGCAAAATTCCTTGCAACATTTCACTTACGAGATGAAGTGTGAAGGTAAGCTGCTTTTCCTAGATGTAACAGCCTTGGAAAGATGTGGTGGCTTTCACAATGCAGTCTATAAACTAAAGGAACTAACATAAGAACATGCCATAATGCTAGTAGTGAGTACACCGAGAGGAACGAATGAAGTGTTGTCAACGCCTATGTCAACCTGTATATGCCAAAGACATCATCAATAGAAAGAAAATAACTATACCCTCTCGCCCAGAGTGTTGTTGTGTGTAGTGCGAAGTAAGCATGAGGTGTAATAACCTAGCACTTGATAAGGTGAGATGCAGTGCCTGTGATAGGATGGGTGTGTGTATATATAGAGGGAGGGGTGTAGTGCAGGAACAGTCTGCTGGCACCATGAAGTTTGTCTTCCTCTCTATCCTGGTTGGGGTGGCACTGGCTGCCCCCAACAGAGTGCTCTTTCCCAGTGAGTACCATCACTTTAATCAATTCAATTCCCAAATTTGTTTTAAATTTTCCTATTAATGTACTGACTTTTTGCATTTAATTTTTTTTTTGTAAATACTGTATATTCAAAGTTGAGAGAAAACAATGATGATGTTTTGCCAGTATGGATTTTTCCAAAACTATTACACACACAGGACTAGCTGTCATGTGTATCCCTGTTAGATACACTACCTTGAGGTTACCTTGAGGTGCTTCCAGGGCTTAGCGTCCCCGCGGCCCGGTCATCGACCAGGCCTCCTGGTTACTGATCAACCAGGCTGGCTAGCTCTCATGTGTATTTCTGTTGGATACATTTAGAGAGTTGTTCTTTATCACTGGTAGATATAGAGGGCTAGTTGGCCTCAGATGTCTGGCCTCAACCCACCTTCAATTCACCTTGTCCCTTTATAAACAGGTAATGAAACGTTACTTTCGATAATATCTACTCTCAACCTGCAGCTTCTCTACATAACTGTCAGCTCTTTGGGTTTTGGTCAACACTTTAACTGTGCAAACTGATTTCATCTTGTTGACAATGTTATATAGTTGAGTGATCAGTATCATCTGGCTTTGCCACATATGACAGAAAAGCATCTTGCTTGTGCACGTACAGTACTGTATTCTCATCTTACAATTTAGCTAAACGGATTTATAAACGGCTAATTTAGCTATACTGTATATGTTTTCTCAAATATTTAGTTTAACCGATACACTATATGGAGGTGCTTGTTACAGAAACGGGAAAGGAGTGGACTCCAGCATCTCTCATCAATCCTGAGGAGCTGGGAGACTATTTTGAGGGAGACATTGTGGGACCAGTGCCAGCACTCCTCAAGAATGGGCTCATTGATGAAAAGTACCGATGGCCCAATGGTGTCGTCACTTATGAATTTGACAGCCTTTTCGGTGAGCCCTGCAAGTGATTTGAACTCTTGTTAAACTTATGAGACAGTCTCTGTATTTAATTCTTAATTTAGCCTTAAAGATCGAGAACAATCCACTCTGGTGGTGTCTATATTTTTATAAATTCTTGTGTTGTGTCAACTTGGACTTATCAGAGGCAATGGCAAAAGGAACATGTATACTAGCTTTAGCACTTGTGCCTACATGACTGATGTCACTCTGACTGTTGTCAGCTGAGGAGCTGAGAACCGTGGTGCAGCAGGCCATGGATGAATATGCTGTGCTGACAGACGGCTGCATCACCTTCGTGGAGCGGACAACAGAAGATGACTATGTCACTTTCACCCAAGAGTAAGTCATTGCTTGTTTAAGATGGAGCTTTGCTCTGCTGAACATGAACAAGAGAATAAAATTCCTCAAGCACAACCAACCAAATTCTGATTCCACTTTTTTCTCACCACAGCGACACTGACGGATGCCACAGCTATGTGGGGAAGATTGGCGGGAGTCAACAGATCAATTATCCGGAGTGGTGCTTGGAGCAGTATGGCTCTGTGCAGCACGAGATGTACCATGCCCTGGGCTTCCACCATGAGCAGTCACGCACCGACAGGGACGACTATGTCACCATCATGTGGGATCACATCTCGAGTGGTGCGCTCCTCTTTGATATCTGTGACTCTATGAAATTAACATCCTATTACATTTCAAATCAATATCATCTGTTGTACTGTATTTCCATGCCATGTGCATAACTCTTGCACCCCCATACTGTACCTTAGGCATAGCTTTTACACTTTCATCACATGAGCATAACCCTTTATTTCCAGGTCATGAGCATAACTTTAACAAGTATTCGGCCGACGTAATCAGTGGATTTGGGGAGAATTATGACTACGGCTCCGTGATGCATTACTCTGCCTACGCTTTCTCTGCCGACGGTGAAAAGACAATTGTCACCATAGTAAGTACAGTATAGAGAAACTTAACCCCACCATCATGTATAATGATGGTGACAGGTGTAGGGACCTCATGACACTGAATGAAGACATAATGCTGTGTCTGGTTCAATGAGAAAAATTCGACCTGCTCATATTCAAGACTCTTACGTAGCTGCAGTATCTAAAATGCAGTTAGTTAGCTTAGCTGGAGTACCTACTAGTCTTACACTCATAGTGTACACATCCCATACCTGTAGGCTATGTAGGCTGCTGCAGTACAACCCACTGACTACTGAAGAGCCATCAGTATTCATGTGGCCATTGATTATTTATAAAAGAATCAATACGATAGTGTCAAACATTCTTGCTTGAACAGCACTCATTTTTTACTATTCTTGGTAATGGATGTGTGTGTGTGTGTGTGTGTGTGTGTAACACCTGTATTACAGGGTGCAAAGAGAGAGAGTGGATCATCATTAGTTAATACACCACACACGACAAAATAGGAATATAGTATTCAATATGATGTTGACAGCACTTCTATTCAACCAGTAGGAATAAAAACTGTCTGCTGGTGCATTGACAGCACTTGCTGCCCTGCCAACACCACCAGTTCCCAAGTAGTGCAGATGATATTGAATTTCTCATGACGTTGATACAATTCTTTAGTTTAGCATATGTTTGAGAGTTTTAACTCTTTCCTTACAATGATGCATTGTGCATCTGGGGGCACTAAGAATTATCCTCATGGCTTAATGTTTTGTTTCTAATGCTGTCAACATAGTGCTTAGGAAATTTATAACGTGAAGGTTATAAGATGTAAGTGATGGGCATGGTAGTCAATTTGGGATCTACTGAACATCATTTACAACATTCTAGCATATTGACATTGATACTTGTAAGTTTTTAAAAGTTCCCATCACACAATCCCTACCTGATCTTGCAAGACCACACTAACGCCACCTTCCTTCCTCAGGATCCAGACGCAGTCATTGGTCAGCGAGAAAAACTCAGTGAAGTAGATATCAGAAAACTCATGAACATGTACAAGTGCTGAGTGAAGGTGACTGAAGGCATTGAGATATTGGGTTTGAGTATTGTTAGTCAAGTAGTTTAACAGTAAATGTACCTACCACCAGGGAGGTAAGAGCCAATGTAAACCAGTCAGGCTGTGGAAGCGAGGGGTCCATATACCACCAGTCAGGGTACATGAAGGCTCTTGTACCACTAGTCAAGATGTTGTATAGACTGCACATCACCAAGCAGTCAAGCTGTATAAACCACCAGTTGGACAAGTGTGTAAGGGAGGCTGGCACAGGTCACAAATCTATGGCCTTCAACATCTCTGGTTAATCACAAGATGATACCATTGCAAACTGTGTGGAAAGGAAGTCATGTAATATATTTAAGTCATAGTGACATATATTAGTCATATATTCTTTCATGAAAATAAAACATCGATTATCTCTTCTTTTTTTGTACTCTAATTGCCTTCCTTCAGCAAATGCAGACAATGAGTCACAGTAATGTGGCTGAAGATATAATTATCAAACCACACACCTTCATTCTTTCAGCAAAGAATAAAAGCTTATGTACTACTGTATCTATATTTTTCAACTCGGCATCTGACAACCTGGTAAAGGAAATCCTACCAAATTACGTAAGCGGTTTGGCAGGGGGTACACATCCTTAGCTTTATACACTACCAAAAGGGATTCTCTCGTATCCCTAGTGGTGTGACCAGCCCCATCTTAAGCCCACAAGCAATCCAGGAGGTGTCCCTCCTGGATATGGATACCTGGATATGGTCCCTGGAGGGACACCTCCTGGAGGTGTCCCTCCTGGTGATGGGGGGTTGTCACCCCCCATCACCCTGAGCAGCTTCAATGTGTCATGATACTGCACTAATACAATTTGTAATTATTTGACACAGTGGAGGTGACAACCCATATGTCAGCATAAAAGGCATGCATCTCAAAGTACAAACCCTTCATATGGCAGTGGCTCTCTGTCTTGCTGCCCCAACCCATACTTTATATAGGCGTATGCTCATATCAGAGCAACATAAGTGAACTATTACAATAATGAACAGCTGTACTTACCACAGACAGTGAAAAGTGTGTAGAGGTTTGGGAAATGGGGGATGTTATGGGAAGAGTTGCTCACACCAGCAGATAGGACCGTCCAACTTTCCAATTTCACTGGAGATGTATGTGCTTGATATTCATTTCCCATTTCAGCCTGTTTCATTAACATTGTAAGCGTACTTGGGGAGTGTAGCCACCTCATTTGATGCTTTCTTTCAAAATCTGGGGATATTGTTTGGCTGCATCCTTGTCTGCCGCCACTGCTTCACCAAACATGTTCATATTCTGCAGGTTACAATGATGTTTAAAATCACTCAACTAATGACAGCACTTTATGCTTGATCATCAAGAAGCTGATGGACATGTTCCCGCTTATATGATTTTGAATCCAAACACTTAATAACTTCTAAATTTCGTCAAAAACCACATATCTGCCTTTCACAATTTTTGCAGCACTTAACGGAGTCACACTTGGAACTTGTCCTTACACTGAAAGAGTTCTTAATAATTATTTTCATATCTGAAGGTGCCAAGCAAAGAGCAATGTGCACAGACTGTTCTGAAACATTAAACTGACCTAGCATTTGCATTTTCACCTCTTAACTGATGGTCTTCCTACCTTTCTTTAGTTGTGAGGCACCATGATCGCTTGATGGACTCCTTCCACTCGTTTGCTGCAACTGACAATATGAACTGGGGACTGACTGGTTATGAACAGGAACACTTCTATTACCATGTATTACCATGATCTGCCTAATGTCTCTAACATTCTGAAACCTATTTTGTTTGCTGATGATACTACCCTCATCTACTCTAACCCCAACCCACATACACTAAATAATGTTGTTAATAATGAACTAAAAAAAAGTCCACTTATGGATGTCAACCAACAAACTAATACTTAACATAGAAAAGACCTACTACATCTTATTTGGAAGCAAATCTACAAATGCAATTCAGCTTCAGATAGATAATGTAAACATTAGCAATAAAATTGATGGAAAGTTTCTTGGCCTATTCCTAGACAATAGACTCAACTTCAGCACCCACATACAACACATAACTAAGAAAGTCTCTAAAACAGTTGGGATCTCTCCAAAAACAGATATTATGTACCTAACTCTGCTCTCATCTCTCTATATTATGCACTAATCTATCCCTATCTTAATTATGGTAACTGTGCATGGGGTTCAACCACTGCAAACCACCTAAAGTCCATCATTACCCAGCAAAAATCTGCTATCAGAATAATAACAAATTCTGCTTTCAGGCAACATTCAGCCCCCTTGTTTAACACACTAAACATGCTAAATATAATCTCACTCCACAAATTCTCGTGTCAATTACATTTACAAAACCCTGTTCTTAAATGCAAATCCTGCTCTGAAACTCCCTGAACAGATGTAATAGGACCCATTATCACCACACCAGAAATAAATATCTCTTTGATATCCCCAGAGTCAAACTTAAATCTGTGTAAACACTCTATGCAAATAAAGGGACCCAGTCTATGGAACTCACTCCCTAATGAATTGAAAAGCTGTCCAACTTTTGCGTCATTCAAAAACAAAACTAAAAAGTACCTAATTTCATCTTCACAGTTTTTTACCTTTTGCATTAAAATTGCACTGTATCTATTGCTACCCAATCTGAACAGCTTTACCATTGTGATCATTGCTGTCTTCTTATATGTGCTATCAATCTGCTGTATGGTGTCTGTTAATCTTGTTTAAATTACCAATCAAGTTGTCAATGTAATCAGAGCTTTAATATACCAATGTGCTTTACTATACTTACTAATCTCTCTCATCTCATTTTTTTCTTGCAATGTATCTGTTATTTTATTAATTCTGCTAGAATTTACCTACTTAAAATTATCTGTTAGATTAAGGACCTGCCCGAAACGCTGCGTGTACTAGTGGCTTTACAAGATTGTAAATACTATGCTATGTATTCTCTCAAACCCAATGTACCTTCTTGTATATAAATAAATAAATGTAATATCCAGTGTAACCACCGTAAATGTAACCACCGAGCTCCACCTGTTGCATCAGAGTGGGACTACCACCAAGGTTCCACCTGTTGCATCAGAGCAGGACTACCACCGAGCTCCACCTGTTGCATCAGAGCGGGACTACCACCGAGCTCCACCTGTTGCATCAGAGCGGGACTACCACCGAGCTCCACCTGTTGCATCAGAGCGGGACTACCACCGAGCTCCACCTGTTGCATCAGAGCGGGACTACCACCGAGCTCCACCTGTTGCATCAGAGCGGGACTACCACCGAGCTCCACCTGTTGCATCAGAGCGATGGAACTTACAAAGAGAAGGCAAGCGGGTGTGGTCACCCACCATACGAGCCTCAGGAAATGCAGAACCAGCCTTCTCTGTGCCCCCACCCACCACAAAACCCAAGAAAGGAAGGAACTGTACAAGAACACCAAGGTTGACAGATAGATGGTACTCCAACGACCAATAGGAATTCCAAATTGCAAATGCCATAAACATCCAGATGAAGGGATGGTAGGAATATATATGGGTATCCATGTATGGAACACTCATACATGGGCTCTATCCACACATGGTGGATAGAGCCCACTAGGAACTGTTTAGTCTCACACACTACCTGAAGAGGCGCTTTACAAGCTACTACCCTCAACTGCCTTTGGTAACTGAAGCAGTTATTCAACATATAGGGAAGGGTTAGTGTAAGATAATGGACAAATATAACTTAAAATAATCATTTATGAAAATAATACCACCATTTCACCATTCCATTTGCTTTATTACTTTAAATATGAAGTAAATATTATTTATATACTTTTAAATATATATAGCATACAGTACATCCAGTCCCTCAAATTATTTAAAATTGTATTGAAAATAACAAAGAATTATTATTATTTTGTCAATCATATGTTTTCAATTAAATATGATCAATATTCTGAACACTATTTTAAACAAGAGGTGTCCCGAGTGTACTTTAATATGACCGCCCAAAAAGTGTGTAGTACAATGGTTTGGCCTTGCATGATGGATGGATACATGACAAGCCATTTACTTCCCCTGGCTGTTCAAAAGGTATACACAAGCCTTTTGCCCCCATAGATGGTGCTCCTGGCTCGGCAGTTTCTTCCCGCGCAGAATCCTTTTTTATAGCATCCTCACATTGTTCTTGCCCACAGAAAGGAGCCAAGATGATGTTGCCTTTGTCTAAATTGCTGGTAAAATCACTCCAACTGTTTACTTTTACTTTGTGCGAGTCAAGATCACTTCGTGCTCGTGATAGTAAATTGTTATGAATGGTGTCTAGAAGAGTTTGGGCTTCCACTCCAACGGTAGTTCTATTCAAGACTAGTTTTTCTGCGGTGTCACGACGTACAGCAAATACTTGACCAGTAGCAACCTCGCGTGGTCCCAGCTCTAATCGTAGGGGTACACCTTTTAGCTCCCAGTGATTGAACTTCCAAGCAGGAGTAACATTGTCGCGTAGATCACACCGAGCACGTACTCCTGCAGTGGTCAAATCGGAAGCTAATTTATTACAAGCATCCATGAGTTTTGATTTGTCTTGCTCAGATGATTTAGCAGTAATTCCAACCGGCATAATGATTGCCTGTACACAAGCCACTCTGGGCGGCAACACAAGTCCTTTGTTGTCACCATGAACCATTATCATTACTCCAATGGTACGGGTAGTCAATCCCCAGCTGTTTTGATAGCAGTATTGCTTCTGTTGGGTTTCTGGATCCTCAAAAATAATTTCAAACATTTTTGAAAAATTCTGTCCTAAATGATGAGATGTTGCTCCCTGAATGCCACGGCCACTTGCTGATATAAAGGCCTCCGTAGTAGTGGTAAAATCACCTCCGGCAAACTTTTCTTTCTCAGTTTTTTTGCCTTTCACAACTGGAACAGCCAAGAGATCTTCATACACTTGAGTATAAAACTCTAATATCTGATACACTTCCTCCTCAGCTTCTTCCTTAGTGGCAAAAGCAGTATGTCCTTCTTGCCACAAGAATTCCCGAGTCCTCAAAAATGGAGTAGGTTGCTTGAACTCCCATCGCACAACATTGTTCCACTGGTTTAGTTTCATTGGCAAGTCTCTGTGTGACTGTATCCATTTAGCAAAAGCAGGATACATCACAGTTTCTGATGTTGGACGAATAGCAACAGGCTCTGCCATCTCGCTTGATCCTGATCTTGTTACCCAAGCAACTTCTGGAGAGAAGTCTGCAATGTGAGTCTTTTCCTTCTCCAAAGCTTCTCGTGCAACAAATATGGGGAAATAAGAATTTTCAACCCCTAAGGTTTTTATTTTTTTATCCAAGAAATCTTTGATATAATCCCATATGGCATATGACCATGGCCTAAGGATGTAGCAGCCTGATACATTGTAGTATTCAATCATCTCAGACTTTGTTATTACTTGAGAATACCACTCGGCCAAATTCTGCTCTTTTTTCACCTCTAGTCCCAACCTTGTTTGTTTCTTAATATTCCCATCCTGCTTTGCAGGTCCTTTTACTTCATTCTTAACTGGTGATTGTTCCTTTGTCTTCCTATTCTCCACAGTTTTAGGTTTAACTTCACCACCACCTTCCTTCTTAGGTGAGGTCGTCTTACTACCCGAAGTTGCATCATCTTTGGAAAACTGTGACACATCAATATCAGGCTTCCAAGCAACACCTGAACATTCCTGGAATTGCTTTTTGAGAGATAAAAGCACATCAACTGCCTTTTTAACAGTATCTTTGTCAACCTTATTTGCTTTTAATTCTCTCACAGCATCCCCTTGTTGTTTGATCTGCATATGAAGATCAATGGCTTTAGCACCTGTGCCTACACTGGCAGTGCTAGCTGTAGTTCCATCACATTTTGAACTGAATTGTGTCATGTCAATATCAGGTTTCCAATCACTACTTGTAAGTTCTTTAAATTCTTTCTTCAGTGATAAAAGTATATCAACTTCCTGCTTCACAACATCTTTTTCAGCTTTACTGGTTTTCAAAGTCCTCACCTTGTCACCTTGTTCCTTAATTTTGTTGTGCAAGTCATGAGGCGAGTTTCCTCTGACAACAGATGGTGTAGGTGTTGTTGACGAGTTTCCACTGACAACAGATGGTGTAGGTGGTGTTGATGTATTAGCGCCAAGCTTAGATATGTCAATGTCAGGTTTCCACTCAACACCTGTGACTGTTTTAAACTTTTTCTTCAGATCCAAAAGAATATCAACCGCTTGTTTGATGGAGTCTTTGTCAGCTTTGTTGGACTTCAGGTTCCGAACAGTGTCCCCTTGTGTTTTAATCTGAGAAAGTATTTCTCCAGCATTCGTTCCTGCAACAGACACCGGAGCAGCAGATACTACAGCTGCAGCAGCAGAAGGAATAACAACATCCGGCTTCCATTCAATTCCAGTTGCATCATGGAAATCTTTTTTCATTTGCTTTAGAATCTCGACCTCGGCCATCACAACATTTTTATCTGCCTTGCTACTCTTCAACTGTCTAATCTTATCACCCTGATCCTTGATAGAATTTAATAAACTCTGTCCCAGAGACATACCAGATGCTCCCCCAACAACAGGTTTTATTTCATCCTGAGGACTTTTCTCTGCCTTTTTGCCTTGAGCACTCTTGGCCTTCTCTTTCTCACTCATGCCTGCTGATTTTTTGACCGATGAAGCAGTTTGCATATCCTTTGAATGACCATCTGGAATGAAGAAGAGTATGACTGGACTCTCACGGCAACTGCTCAGACTTACTGGCTTGTAAGCCTCATCCACTCTGAAAAATCCCTTCCTTTGCAGTTGTATAATGTCTCCAGCAACCAGATTTTGCAGCTCAGTATCACCAATCATTTTCACTTCAGCACGGGTGTTGTGTCCAATGAAATCTTTGAAGTTTTCATCTTTTCCAAGAACACTCTTAGTTATAAGATGATCAAAGTACACACAAACAACAGGTGTGGTGGGAGATTTTTCAGTATCAGCAAGCCAAGTGAGCTTTAGTGTCTTCTTGTAGTCTGTGTCATTAAGATTAGGTTCAGCATCAATAGACTCTATTTTACCATTTCCCTTGTTGATTTTCTTAATCCTAATATTTCCCCAATTGATGAAAGTAGCATTTTGCCCTTCCTTCAATTCAGCAGCATCTGCACTCTCAATTAGGACACGAGGCCCAATCCACACAGTTTTCATGCCAATAGACGAATCTTTAGGATGTTTCTGGGCCGTAGTGGCCTCCTCATTAATGCCATTGATAAGAACAGGTACTAAGTCACCTTGAAGGGCTGTATAACGAGGAGCATAACGATCAATCACCTTCTTATTGAAAGCCCAAATCTTGTCCCACTCCATGTTCACAACAGAACGAGACGAACCTTGTGAAATAATAAAATCTTTCAGTCCTTCCACAGTCATACCACGCCTCAAAATTCCTCTAACAGTTGGGAATCGGGGATCATCCCATCCATCAACAAGCCCTTCATCAACAAACCAAGTTAACTTTCGCTTTGAGAGAACAGTATTGTTCATGTTCAGACGTGAATACTCATAAATGTGCAACGTCCTTAGTCCAAGTTTCTCTATAAACCAATAGTATTGGTCATCACGGTCATGATACTCTGTTGTTCTGAGTGTGTGGGTGACCCCTTCTATACTATCTACAATAGGACAGGCAAAGTCATATGTAGGGTACACCTTGTACTTGTAGCCTGTCTTGACATGGGGTTCATTTTTACAGCGATAGATCGCAGGATCACGCATACAGCCATTGTCACTCTTCATGTCAATCCTGGCCCGCACACAGCAAGTCATGCCATAATCGGTTCCTTTCTTCATCTCCTCCCACATAGATAAATTTTTGTCTACGGAGTTGTTATAATTTTTACTTTCTTTCCTCTCTTCACGCTCTTTCTTCATAGTCTCACCATCAGTGTCATCACAATATGCATGGCCCTGCTTGATAAGTTGCTCACACATCTCTATCATGCGGTCAAAGTAATCCGAAGTGTGGGTGAAAACATCTGGCTTGATCTCTAGTAACTTCAAATCCTCCAAAATAACCTTCTCAAAGTCCAGTTTCTCTTTCTCTGGGTTGGTATCATCGAATCGCATCACCAATTTCCCCTGAAGAAAAAATAATAAAATACAGAGGTACAGTAAATCATTCAGCTTACAAAATACCTATCTCAATATTTAAATGACTCATTTCTGACATTCTAAGCAAGAAGATGGAACGAACACTACACCAAAACTGTGCTTACTGATATTACCCTCATTTATATGATATTCAGTAGTGTTCCTAACATTTTCTAAGAAATTCTAACCACCGCTTATCATTTTGAGCAAAGCAGACTATTTTCTAACAATATGGTTAAAAGTTATATTAATGGAAATCAGACCATAAAGCAAAGGAAGAGCAGGCATCAATTAAGGAAAACCATCTTAAGAACGTGTGCAATGAAAATTCCTTAAAAGTATTTTTTTTTTTAGATAACTGTGCTAGCGAGGTAAAAAAAGGTCTTCAATCCAGTCAGTAATTGCTGTCAAATGATTCATCTAACAAACTCCAGACCCCCCTCAAAGCCCTCTTTACCTCAAGTGACTGGCATGGGGTGTTCTCACAAGCTTCCAGGCGGCCCGTCAGGCCATCCTCACCGACCACCACCAGATGCCAACACTAAACACACACACAACAGTGTTCCTGTGACCTAAACCACTCCGCATACTTCTCCACAGATTATGCACACACAAAAACACGAATACAAGAGAGGTAACTGAAACAACAATTGTTCTGCTCAGAAAATAGCTCTTTAATGCTTGCTCAAAGCATTATTTATGCAATATGCTAACTGCTTGCTCCCTAAGGCCTTGCTAGATAGGCAGAGGAGAAAACTAAAATATAAAAGAGCATGGGACAAACTCACCTGCATTGCAGAGAGTTGCCAGAAGGATGCTGAGGATGATAGGTCATGCCTACTGACAAAGGCTTCCTGGCAGCCAGAGCACTAGAACAACTGCTCACAGATGAGATGTGCAAAGATCTAGGCTAACCATAATCCAAGTAAGGGTAGCCACTCTGGCCAGAGCAAAAATAACAAAACATATACAGGCGCATGAACTCTGCTAAAGCATGATCAACAGAAAAACAAAATGAACAACCCAAACACACTAAACAGAACAGAACCACACAGTAAATGCAGGATTAAAACCTGTATTGCTTACACATACAACTTCAAACAAGAATCCAAGGAATCACAAATAAGAAACTACCACTTAATAAACAGCTGAACCACCCAGAGGTGCACTGACCTTATGTACAAAACAAACATGCATTACAATCCACAAAGTCAAGTGCTGCAGTGGTGAAAGTATAAAGTGAAGAAAAGTTTCTCAAAAGGAGAAACCAACTCTTGTGCACTACCAAACAGGAACAAAGTGAACCAGATGGTCAATTAACTCATGTACAGCAGGAATGCCTAAGTACTGGTACAAAATTCCTGACAACTGCAAAGTGAAGAAACTCAAGAAAAAACATCCCCATTGATGAAAAGTACAAACCAACTACAAATGCAGAAGATAACTGGACACTGGTCACTAAAAGACCACACACACAAAGGGCTTGTCTACATATGAGAAGCTTTCATTGATACAGCATAAGCCCACTGCAACAATGGAAGCCATTTATAAATGCAACACACACCACTGACTAACTGGAAGTGCTGGTCTCTACATGCTCACATACTTGCAGTCAAGGCTACTTAGGATGAAATGCACAGTTGTTTTGCTAGAGAGTGCTATGTTGTGCTATCAGGCACTACCCCCTGATAGCAGTTGGAGGATAGTGACCTAACAGGCTGTTCGATATTTAGCTAGAGCACAAACTGATGATCTTCATGATACCAATTTGTTCCTGGAAAACTCTTGTCAACGTTCTAGGAAAGACTGAATATTCCCCAGTGTCTTATTAGTACTTGTGTGACCCACTGGGGATAGTTTGAAATGGTACCAAATGCATCAGAGCAAAATGTTGACATATCCAGCCAGGAGGCCTGACCGACAACCGAGCCACGGGGACGCAAGTCCCGGAAACACCTCAAGGTAACCTAAAGGCAAGGTACACTGACCGAACCAAATTTTAACCATAGCTCAGCAAAATCTTGTGTCAGAGTAACTGAGGCATACCTCAGAAATTAATATATTTAATCATATAACACAAAGTAAAACCCATAAAAATGTTTGAGTACTTCTTAAATGAAAATTCAAAGATAATGACCCAATGATGTAATTTCTTGAAACCACTGTAAATTTAACAAATTTTCAGGTTCAAAACTATTAGTGATATAATGAAAAGTTACACAGTATAATAAAATTAAATTCTAAAAGTACACATTCCAAATAAAACAAAATTCTGGGGTACTGTTTGCAACCAAGAAACTACCGTGATTTTTCCCCCAGGCATCAAGGTATGTTTGTGGAAATACTGGAGTAGCTATGATTGTCAGTTTTTAGACTTAAGATCGATCCAAGAGAATAGTGCTCTGCTGACAGTATCATAGGTGTCCCTCATCAAAAGCAGCCTCTTTCCAATTAACAACTAGGGACCGTAAAAAAGTGCCATGTCCCCACAAAACAAAAGGCATTGTGAACCCAATACTAGTACCATGTTACAAGGAACCACATAAGTGGTGGAAAACTCAAAGGGAATCAATATTCAATAGTGAAGCAATATACAAAAAGTGTTACAACATAAATATGTTAGTCTCCACTGGCCAGAAGTGCATTTATAATGAGAGGGTATGCGAGGAGGGCAGTGAGGCCACCCTTTTGACATGTAGGTGCTGCCAGATGGTGATGGTTGGGGTAGTTGAGTGGCAAATAAACAAATGATTAGCAAGAACTCTCCATGGTGGTCCCTGTGATACAAAGTTGTGCTTGAAAGGGCATTACCTATACCTGAATTGTACTTATTGAGGTTGGATTGAGTATTCTCCAATCTTCCCACCGAGTACTTTGCCTCAGGAAGTAAGCATGGGCTATAGCTCAGAAAAGATAAAACAAAAGCATAACATATCCTTACTGTAAATACCTAATAAACCGAGTTACAACAATTTTACCTTAAATGCCAACTGATAGTACTGATTCAGGAGAGCCGCTTTAGCATGGCCAATATGGAGATATCCGCTAGCTTCGGGGGGAAAACGGACAACAACCTCCCCCATCTTGGCTCCAGGAAGCTCAACAAACTTCCCTCCATCATCTTGTTTCTTAGCATTCGATGCTGACTTGTTAGGTGAAGCTGGAGAGGTCTTGGAGAAATCAAAGGCTTTTTTCACCTCCTCTGGAAGTGCTGCAATCACACTGCCAACCTACAAAGACAGCCAACAATTAATTGATTTGTTCATGCAAAATAACCATTGTTTTTCTTTACCCATATGTCACATGAGTGTTTTATTCATTACCTTTACTGTATATTCTTTAATAAAATCCTGCTTATAATCACCCTATATAACAAATTAACAGTTATTAAGGTAGGAATGGCCACAACTTGCTGTTAGAAATTTTTATTGGCTCATTCCTTGGGAATCGCTAAATGTTACATTCTGAAATTAATATGCATTCCGCGTGAGCCGATGGTACTTTCAATCTATTTCAAAGTTAAATTAAATAAAATATAACTCCTAAATATTTATGATCAAAACCAGAATTTTATCGTGTATTTCATGAACCCATGGACTGAACCACAGAAAAAATTAACCTTATAATATTTATCTTTTTTATTGGATACCATAAATACTCCAGTGTGGTTTACAGTACAGTATATTTAAAATGTTTCTAGAAGTTTTGCAGATTGTTCTATGCACTGTTGTGAGTACTATAGCAAAGGTCAGCAGAGGTAGTGTGGCACTTTGTGGGTCAGAGGGAGGTAGTGTGGCAGACAATGGGTCAATCCTCATTACAGAATCTGAGCCACCAGTTATAACATTTCACACGCAGGCGCACGCGCGCGCACACACACACACAGGTCCTACCATAAATACGGTACCTGAGCCTCCATGGAGTTATACCAACGTAGCACATGCACCGGGGCTTTATCATCATTCAACAGCTTGTGCCATGCTGCATTTTCTGAAAGAAACACATTACATTTTCCATTGTGCAAACAAACAACTTTTTTGAAGGCATAGAAAATAGAAGCAATGATGGCTTAAGTATCAAATAATAATTGATACAAAATAATAAAGACAAGGTCAGGCTTTGCATTTGTAGCCCCTGAAAATTTGATGAAGCCTCGACAAAGTGACTTAAAACTATCGATCTAACAGCAAGAGACACTCTTACAATGGAAACGCTTGTCTAAATATTTAATATACCACTTAGATAAATTACTTATTCACAGGTATGGAAAAAGGCTTAAGTAACAATTTTGTATAAGTTACACTATTATTTTAATTTTATTGCTTAACAATTTTCTGGCATGGTAACAACAAAGTCCTTAGCAACATATAAATAATATTCGCCAAATTTTTGCATTAGGTATACAATCTTGGTTTCATTTGTCTATAGGAAGTTTAACCAGATAGAGATAGATCTAGCCAACAGGATTACAGGATGTTATCCCTAAAATGTTGTCACGTGAATCCCCTGCATAGCAGTGGAACTGCCTTTCCTACTCAACCGCAATGCCTCAGTACTGGAAGTTCACCTCTACACCAGCTAAGATGAGTTGGGTCATCAGTCCTGCCACCTCTCCATACCCCCCAGGGCCTGGCACAGCCTGGTACGACTCGGATGCAAGCCAAGCGCCTCCGCTAACCAGTAGTTAGCCGCCTTTAACCTTCAGTAGTGCAGCCTCAAAACAAAGGCGCTGCCAGTCGCATACTAGCAGTTTGTTATCAGTGCATGTTACCACCTTGCATTGACATCAGCTCTGAGTCATCACCGCCAGACTATATAAAGGGCACCACCTTCATAGGAAACCACTCTCTCTCTTAGTGCTCTTATCACCTTAGCCTCCCGCAACATCGTTTGCGGCCAGCCTACGTCGTGTGCCGGATGCTGTGGTGGTATAGTAGTTGTCTTCAGCACCACCAGTACTTACTCATTTATTCTTTTCATTGTATTTCTTGCACAGATTATCATCTGTGATAAATAATTTCATCGGTGATAAATTTCATCTGTGTTCTTGCACACAGATGAAACGCCCATTTCATCTGATGGATAATATTCAGGTTCACTACTTTTCATATATTCTTCTTAATCATTAATATTATCCATCTTTAGCAAAGTCTTTGCCAGTTTGTGTGTGGGGTCACTAGTCGTTTGCACACAGGTGCTGCGTCACATTAAGCTCAAAGGCACAAGAGCACAAGACATTGTGGGCATCTATTAACTAATGCCCTAAAAAAGAGAAACTATGGCGCCCTGAATTTTGTTTCCAATACTGTATAGCGGAAAATTGCAAAGAGCATCTAAGAATTGAAAATGTACCCCACACATTCATCTAAATTTATAAACTAACTGCACCTGGTAATGTCCTGTATAGATGACAGGAGCAGTCGTGCATTTATCACCCGCAGATGAGAGTAGCAGTGTGAAGATTAATGGCTAAAAATGTAAAGCACAAAATGGTAGAAAATCTAGATAAATTTTCAACCAGAAACTAATTTAATAATGCTTACTATAAAGAGCAGCAAACACTTCAAAATCTGCAACAGTGATATGATTTCCCACCAGCACATCTGAGGGAGCCAGAGCCTTATCCAGCTGGGCTAGAGAGCCATTTATGTCCCCTCCACAAGACAATGGACCTGATGCTGTAGAAAGCCAGTGATCCACCTGAAAATTAAGTTCCAATATTAAATTTCATCAATGAAATATGTACAGTATGTCCCTAAAACAGACACCAGTGCTGCCATAATTAACAAACCAATTTAAACTAAATTAGTTTATACTATAGTTAAAAATATTGCCCACACTGATGTGAAGACAAAATTTCTAAGTTATTAGGTGAATAAACCCTAGAATGAGCACAATCACTTTCCAAAGGGGGTGGAACTTTGGACTTTGTACCAGGTAACAAGCAACACCACCCCCAAAAGAAAAAAATATTAAATCATATTAGGTTGTGGAACCGAGTGCACTTGCCAACAACGTTTCATGACTGCGAAGTAACGTTCAGTAGCCTACCTCAGTTCTATGGAGGATGTGGCAAGGATACAGTTCTAAGGAGGGGTTGACTCGGGCCACGTGTCTCGATATGCCGTGTGACGAAGTGACACTGAAGGTGTCGGTAAGAGCTAAATTGGTCTCTTTCCCAAACTCCACAGAAAGGCCAGCCTTAGAACACGTCAGAACTGCCCCTGTAATGGAAAGATAATAATTAACATGCCATAAATACAAAAAATATGTCTTAGTATGGACAGAACACAACACGACTAAATAATAATCAAAAGAAGGTGCCAAGCTGAGAAGGCTATGTAGACCACTCGACTAAGTACAAGTATAGTAACCTGATGGCGGATAATATTATACACATCACACAAGATTTAACAATAGTTTATAAGTTTCTTGTGTGACTTGACACCCAAGATCTTTGCTATATTATATACTAGACAAGCTGATCAACTGGGGATAATACTGTACTTCTACATCAGCCTGCATGCAGGCTTGTACAACAGCTTTTGTACACCTCACTAAACAGAAGCCCAAGCGAGAGATTGGGCAGCCGGGACATTGATACTTTGAACCAAGTTCAAGTTCGAAAGCTGAATCAGGTTGTACTAATACATTAGGATGCGTTGGGTTAGTTTAGGTTGGATTAAGTTTAAACATGGCAAGAATTCAATTATAAAAAATGCAATGCCCTGTATCTGTGTGCTAATCATTTGAATCGATGTTTACCTACCCGAGTTTGCCTGCGGGCCACTATCTCTCTAGCGGCCTCGACAAGGACAGGAAGCCGGCAGCTTGTCAAAGCTAACCAACCCCCCCCCCCCCCTATTTGTCCTGATGACCATATGTCAACATCAAAAATTATTTAAAAACCCATTTTACATACTTGAAAATGTAAACAAAAAATCAATATATATATATATATATATATATATACACCAATACGACCAGAAAAACGTGAGGTGAAAGGCGCGTGTTAAAAATGGAGCGACTTATCTAATTATAGTCCTGACACGTCCACCAACCATCACCATATCTCAAGAAAAATCTATATAAATTCCCCTAAGACTCATTACACTTAAATAAGCTATTGTAGCTATTGTAGCCTAAATAAGCTATTGTAGCCTAAATACGAAACCCGCGTTGGAATCCTAAAACATATGCAAGTGGGACAAGTGCAATGGGAGCTGCATGGGAAAGATGCAGCTGCCAGTCACACATATAACGTCCTAGTGGGTGTCCCAGGGCCCCATACACCCACTGGGAGTCACACCCATGTACCCAGGGAACATGGGTGTGATTCCACCCATGGCTCACCTAAGGGAGGGTCGGTTTTTGAGGCGATAACTTTCATTTTGGTGGAGTCTGCTGCCCCGTCCATGGCCGGCCACACACACCTTGCTCGTCAGGGTTGCCAGCTCCAACTTGCGGAAAGTAGCGAGTTGACGCTCTAAAAGTAGCGAATTTGTAAGAAAAGTAGCCCAATTTTTTTTAGTGATTGATACGGGTTTCAAGTAATATATTTTAATATATAGAGTACACACACTAGTATATCTACACACCCACTAAAAGAATATAGGTGGTAGGGGAAGAAAATATCAAAGTGTTCAGTGAGGATCCACAAGGTCTTCTCTGAGTACTCATTATTTTCTTCTCTGAGGCTATGGGTCCCTACACTTGCACCAGAGGTGGTACCCCTATATATATAACTGAAAACTCACACCCCATAGCCAGTCCCCAGGTTGAAAACCATCATGAAGACCCCCATCCATCGCCAGATCTCTAGTATCAGCCACTGATGCAGATAATGGCTCCAAAGAGCCTCCACTTACGACCAGTTGTGTAACCAGACCCCGACCAGTTGTGTAACCAGACCCCGACCAGTTGTGTAATCAAAAGCTTAACATGAACAAACCGAACAAAACCTCTGGAGCACAACCATGCACGAACCGAAGCCCGACCATGCACAACCATTAGCCCAAGCAACACCCCCGGAGCCCGACCAGTTAAGTAACCGGAGCCCGACCAGTTATTTAACCGGAGCCCGACCAGTTATTTAACCGGAGCCCGACCAGTTGTGTAACCGAAGCCCCACCAGTTGTGTAACCAGACCCCGACCAGTTGTGTAACCGCAAGCCTAGAATGAACGAACCGAACAAAATCTCTGAAGCACAACCATGCACGAATTGAAGCCCGACCATGTGCAACCCGAAGCCCAAGTGACATATCCCCATAGCCTGAACAGTTATGTAACCGGAGCCCGACCAATTGTGTAACTGGACCCCAATCAGTTGTGTACCCGAAGACCAACCAGTTGTGTAACTGGAACTCTACCAGTTGTGTAACTGCAAGCCTAGCATGAAAGACCCGAACAAAACCTGAAACACAACCATGCACGAACCGAAGCCCGACCATGCACAACCATTAGCCCAAGCAACACCCCCGGAGCCCGACCAGTTAAGTAACCGGAGCCCGACCAGTTATTTAACCGGAGCCCGACCAGTTATTTAACCGGAGCCCGACCAGTTGTGTAACCGAAGCCCCACCAGTTGTGTAACCGGACCCCGACCAGTTGTGTAACCGCAAGCCTAGAATGAACGAACCGAACAAAATCTCTGAAGCACAACCATGCACGAACTGAAGCCCGACCATGCACAACCCGAAGCCCAAGTGACATATCCCCATAGCCTGAACAGTTATGTAACCGGAGCCCGACCAGTTGTGTTACTGGACCCCAATCAGTTGTGTAACCGGAGACCAACCAGTTGTGTAACTGGAACTCTACCAGTTGTGTAACTGCAAGCCTAGCATGAACGACCCGAACAAAACCTGAAACACAACCATGCACGAACCGAAGCCCGACCATGCACAACCATTAGCCCAAGCAACACCCCCGGAGCCCGACCAGTTAAGTAACCGGAGCCCGACCAGTTATTTAACCGGAGCCCGACCAGTTGTGTAACCGAAGCCTGACCAGTTGTGTAACCAGACCCCGATCAGATGTGTAACCAGACCCCGACCGGTTGTGTAACCGCAAGCCTAGCACGAACGAACCGAACAAACAACATCTGAAGTACAACCATGCACGTACAGAAGCCCGACAGAGCACAGCCCGAAGCCTGATTATGCACAACCCGAAGCCAAAGTGACACCCCCATAGCCTGAACAGTTATGTAACCGGAGCCCGACCAGTTGTGTAACTGGACCCCAACCAGTTGTGTAACTGGACCCCGACCAGTTGTGTAACGAACCCCACCAAATGTGTAGCTGCAAGCCTAGCATGAACGACCCGAACAAAACCTGAAGCACAACCATGCACGAACCGAAGCCCGACCATGCACAACCCTTAGCCCAAGCAACACCCCCGGAGCCCGACCAGTTGTGTAACCGAAGCCCAACCAGTTGTGTAACCAGACCCCGACCAGTTGTGTAACCGGAGACCGACCAGTTGTGAAACCGGAGACCGACCAGTTGTGTAACCGGAGACCGACCAGTTGTGTAACCGGAGACCGACCAGTTGTGTAACCGGAGACCGACCAGTTGTGTAACCGGAGACCGACCAGCTGTGTAAGCGGACCCCGACCAGTTGTGTAACTGCAAGCCTAGAATGAACGAACCGAACAAAATCTCTGAAGCACAACCATGCACGAACCGAAGCCCGACCATGCACAACCATTAGCCCAAGTGACACCCCCGGAGCCCGACCAGTTAAGTAACCGGAGCCCGACCAGTTATTTAACCGGAGCCCGACCAGTTATTTAACCGGAGCCCGACCAGTTATTTAACCGGAGCCCGACCAGTTGTGTAACCGAAGCCCCACCAGTTGTGTAACCGGACCCCGACCAGTTGTGTAACCGCAAGCCTAGCATGAACGAACCGAACAAACAACATCTGAAGTACAACCATGCACGAACTGAAGCCCGACTATGCACAACCCTTAGCCCAAGCAACATCCCCGAAGCCCGACCAGTTAAGTAACCAGAGCCCGACCAGTTATGAAACTGGACCCCAATCAGTTGTGTAACCGGAGACCAACCCGTTGTGTAACTGGACCCCGACCAGTTGTGTAACTGGAACCACACCAAATGTGTAACTGCAAGCCTAGCATGAACGACCCGAACAAAATCTCTGAAGCGCAACCATGCACGAACCGAAGCCCGACTATGCACAACCATTAGCCCAAGCAACACCCCCGGAGCCCGACCAGTTAAGTAACCGGAGCCCGACCAGTTATTTAACCAGAGCCCGACCAGTTATTTAACCGGAGCCCGACCAGTTGTGTAACCGAAGCCCGACCAGTTGTGTAACCAGACCCCGACCAGTTGTGTAACCAGAGACCGACCAGTTGTGTAACCAGAGACCGACCAGTTATGTAACCGGAGACCGACCAGCTGTGTAAGCGGACCCCGACCAGTTGTGTAACTGCAAGCCTAGAATGAACGAACCGAACAAAATCTCTGAAGCACAACCATGCACGAACCGAAGCCCGACCATGCACAACCATTAGCCCAAGTGACACCCCCGGAGCCCGACCAGTTAAGTAACCGGAGCCCGACCAGTTATTTAACCGGAGCCCGACCAGTTATTTAACCGGAGCCCGACCAGTTATTTAACCGGAGCCCCACCAGTTGTGTAACCGGACCCCGACCAGTTGTGTAACCGCAAGCCTAGAATGAACGAACCGAACAAACAACATCTGAAGTACAACCATGCACGAACTGAAGCCCGACTATGCACAACCCTTAGCCCAAGCAACACCCCCGAAGCCCGACCAGTTAAGTAACCGGAGCCCGACCAGTTATTTAACCGGAGCCCGACCAGTTGTGAAACTGGACCCCAATCAGTTGTGTAACCGGAGACCAACCAGTTGTGTAACTGGACCCCGACCAGTTGTGTAACTGGAACCCCACCAAATGTGTAACTGCAAGCCTAGCATGAACGACCCGAACAAAATCTCTGAAACACAACCATGCACGAACCGAAGCCCGACCATGCACAACCATTAGCCCAAGCAACACCCCCGGAGCCCGACCAGTTAAGTAACCGGAGCCCGACCAGTTATTTAACCGGAGCCCGACCAGTTATTTAACCGGAGCCCGACCAGTTGTGTAACCGAAGCCCGACCAGTTGTGTAACCAGACCCCGACCAGTTGTGTAACCAGAGACCGACCAGTTGTGTAACCAGAGACCGACCAGTTGTGTAACCGGAGACCGACCAGTTGTGTAACCAGACCCCGACCAGTTGTGTAACCGGAGACCGACCAGTTGTGTAACCGGAGACCGACCAGTTGTGTAACCGGAGACCGACCAGTTGTGTAACCGGAGACCGACCAGTTGTGTAACCGGAGACCGACCAGTTATGTAACCGGAGACCGACCAGCTGTGTAAGCGGACCCCGACCAGTTGTGTAACTGCAAGCCTAGAATGATCGAACCGAACAAAATCTCTGAAGCACAACCATGCACGAACCGAAGCCCGACCATGCACAACCATTAGCCCAAGTGACACCCCCGGAGCCCGACCAGTTAAGTAACCGGAGCCCGACCAGTTATTTAACCGGAGCCCGACCAGTTATTTAACCGGAGCCCGACCAGTTGTGTAACCGAAGCCCCACCAGTTGTGTAACCGGACCCCGACCAGTTGTGTAACCGCAAGCCTAGAATGAACGAACCGAACAAACAACATCTGAAGTACAACCATGCACGAACTGAAGCCCGACTATGCACAACCCTTAGCCCAAGCAACACCCCCGAAGCCCGACCAGTTAAGCAACCGGAGCCCGACCAGTTATTTAACCGGAGCCCGACCAGTTGTGAAACTGGACCCCAATCAGTTGTGTAACCGGAGACCAACCAGTTGTGTAACTGGACCCCGACCAGTTGTGTAACTGGAACCCCACCAAATGTGTAACTGCAAGCCTAGCATGAACGACCCGAACAAAATCTCTGAAACACAACCATGCACGAACCGAAGCCCGACCATGCACAACCATTAGCCCAAGTGACACCCCCGGAGCCCGACCAGTTAAGTAACCGGAGCCCGACCAGTTATTTAACCGGAGCCCGACCAGTTATTTAACCGGAGCCCGACCAGTTGTGTAACCGAAGCCCGACCAGTTGTGTAACCAGACCCCGACCAGTTGTGTAACCAGAGACCGACCAGTTGTGTAACCGGAGACCGACCAGTTGTGTAACCAGACCCCGACCAGTTGTGTAACCGGAGACCGACCAGTTGTGTAACCGGAGACCGACCAGTTGTGTAACCGGAGACCGACCAGTTGTGTAACCGGAGACCGACCAGTTGTGTAACCGGAGACCGACCAGTTGTGTAACCGGAGACCGACCAGTTGTGTAACCGGACCCCGACCAGTTGTGTAACTGCAAGCCTAGAATGAACGAACCGAACAAAATCTCTGAAGCACAACCATGCACGAACCGAAGCCCGACCATGCACAACCATTAGCCCAAGTGACA